GCCCCATCTCCCCTCACTCCCTCTCGTCCAACCCCTCTTCCCGGGACTCCTCCCCGAGCCGAGACTCCTCCCTGGCCATCGCCAGCCTGCGGCCTCCCATCATCATCCACAGCTCGGGGAAGAAGTACGGCTTCACCCTGCGCGCCATCCGCGTCTACATGGGCGACAGCGACGTCTACACCGTCCACCACATGGTCTGGGTATGTGCCCTGGGGTCTAGAGGTGCTTTGAACCCCAGGAGGGAGCTGGGATCCAAATAAAACCCCTCTGTTTGTGTTGCAGAGCGTGGAGGAGGGGAGCCCTGCGCAGGAGGCCGGGCTGAGGGCAGGAGATCTCATCACACACGTGAACGGAGAGTCCGTGCTGGGGTTGGTCCATCGGGACGTGGTGGAGCTGCTGCTGAAGGTGGGTGACCAGAGCCACTCTGCTCTCCCGGGAAATCAATTCATCATTGGCAGCTAAGGCAGGAGCTGGCTCAGATCTGGTGCTGCAAAGATTTGTTTTCCATCCATCAGAGCGGGAATAAAGTGGCCCTGAGGACCACTGCCCTGGAAAACACCTCCATCAAAATCGGTCCTGCAAGGAAAAACAGCTCCAAGACAAGGATGGCACGGAGGAGTAAAAAGAGCAGGAAAAGGGATGGCCAAGACAGGTAGGTAAAACCAGGACAAAGTGGCATTTATTCCACTGTGTGGGGTACTGGGAGAATGCTCTGGATCTGCCATATCAGGGTGTCCAGTGCGGCCTGGTCCTGCCAGCATTGGGTTGGATGCTCTAGATCTGCCATACTGGGATGTCCAGCGGGGTCTGGTCCTGCTGCCACAAGGTCAGCAGACTTGCAACTAACAGCTTTAAGGAGAAGCCAAATTATTCCTATCCCCACAGCAGGAGAAAATCCCTTTTCAAGAAGATCTCCAAACAGTCGTCGGTGCTGCACACCAGCCGCAGCTTCTCCTCTGGTCTCCACCACTCTCTGTCCTCCAGCGAGAGCCTCCCGGAGTCCCCCACACACAGCCTGTCCCCGGGTCCCACCACGCCGTGCCGCAGCCCCGCTCCCGACCTGCCCTCAGGTACCCCAGGGGGGGATATTGGCTCGGGGCAGGGCAGGATGCTGCGTGTCCCTCGGGGAGGCCGCGTCCCTCCATCCCTACAGTGACCTTTTCTCTTTGTACGGCAGATGCTGTGTCCCCTCAGAGCACCTCTCCCTCCTCCAGCACCCCAACGTCACCCGCCGGCCACGTGCGCCCCAGCTCCCTGCACGGGCTGGCCCCCAAACTGGGTGGGCCGCGCTACAAAGTGGGACGACGCAAATCCACCAGCAGCATCCCCCCCTCGCCCCTGGCCTGCACCCCTTCCTCGGCCCAGCGCCCGCCTTCCCCGCAGCGCTCCCCGTCTCCGCTCCACGGGTACCCCAAAACGCCCCATTCCTTCCAGGGCAAGACCCTGTCCCCCCCCACCATCGTCCGGCAGAGCTCCCGGCCCCGCAGCGCCGACTGCCCCCGCTCCCCCCTGCTCAAGCGCGTCCAGTCGGCCGAGAAGATCGTCACCATCCTGGCCGAGAAGAAAACCGGCGGCCGCAAGCTGGGCCTGGAGATGATGTCCTCGCTGGATGGGGAGGCCATCACCGAGGGGGACGCGCTGTCCTACCCCGGGGAGCACGGGTACCACCCCGGCAGCTCCCGGCTGGCGGAGCGGCACGAGCGGGACCAGGAGATGGTGGTGATGCGGCGGCTGAACCTGTCGGAGCGCAGGGACTCGTTCAAGAAGCAAGAGGCGGTGCAAGAAGTGAGCTTTGACGAGCAGGAGACGGCGGCAGGAGGTGAAGATGGTGGCAAGAGCGAGGAAGGGCAGGGCACGGCCGGTGCGGGGCTGCCGCCGAAGCTGAAGCCCGGCACGGTGCCGCAGATCGCGGTGCAGGGCTCGGAGAGCGACGAGCAGGAGCCGGCGGTGCCCGAGTGGGAGTGCCAGGGCTCCTACCCCATCAGCAGCACGGAGCAGCCCAGCAGCATCATCTCCTTGCCCTGGTGGGATGGGTGTGAGCACCGGGACCGTGGCTCCCAGCAGCAGCAGCAGCAGCAGCGGAACTGCGGGCAGGGCTCACCCGGCCACTGGCAGGTGCCAGCACAGGGCCAGGAGCAAACAGGGGCTCATCTCCCGGCTCCCCGGGGCGTGTGGAGCGGGGCCAAGCACGCCTGAGCCCCATGCAGGCACCAGGGATGGCTCAGGCTCCCTGCAGCATCCCCAGCACCCCGTTCTGTGTGGCAAATCCATGAGAAAAATGTCCCCGGAGCCACTCTGGACCCTGGCCGGGCCGGCTGTGCCCCGGCACTTCGCCCCCCTGGAAGGCTTTTTGTACTCCCTGAAAGATGCTCATATTTTTATAGAGACGCAGGAGCTTTTCCGGCAGCGGCGTTTCCCCAGCTGGGCCCCAACCTCTGTGTACAGAAAAGGACTCGATGCAAATATTCCTTAATTAATTTATTACTTTTTATAAGCTAAACGGGCAGTGCAGGACTGTCGCAGGGGCCAACCCAGCTCTGGGAGTCCCAGCCTTTCCCGTGCGTCTCCCAGCCCACTGTTTTCTAACCCACCTGCTTTTCCCTACTTTTAAACTCCAATTCTACCTGGAAACACTCCAAATCTCCTAAGAACCCCATAACTCTAATATTTAAAATTAAAACAAAACCCCAAGTCCACAGCAACATCCCCGAAATGCTGGGATGCAGGGGGGGGATATTCTTTGCATATGGATCATCAGATGATGAGCATATGGATCATTTTATAAGCTTATAGGAGGTATAAAAAGGGTTTAATTAGTTTATTTGGAGATTTTATAGCCTCCATTTGGCCCTTCCAGGTGGGGAAAACTGAGACATTCCCCAGATGGGAATATCAATGGGACTTTTAGGGTCAGTTTTTGCTCTTTCAAAAATCCCATGATGTTGGTGGGTCAGTGCACATACACTTACAAAATCCCAATTTAATTTATCTTTTTTTTTTTTTTTTTACATTGCCCTAACTCAGTGAGCACCTGTGCTGCTTCACTTGTAATTTGGGAATTTCACCCCTTTCTTTCCCCCCTTGTTGCTCTCTGTCCAACAAACAACAGCTCAACCCAGCATTTCTCCCCCGTTTCTACCGTTTTCTGGCCTATAAACGTTTCCATTTGTTGATGCATGTTCTGGCCTCCCCTCCCCTGCCGTGGTTTGGTGACAGGGGCACATCCCCGGTTTGCCAACCCCACTGCCATCAGGTGTCACCGTTACCCCGGTGGATTTTTTGGGCTGCGTGTTGGATTCTTTTGTGCACGTGTGGTTTGTGCCTGCCAGGCTCCGTATCCCGCTTCTCCCGTTCAACTGGTGCTCTTAAACCTCCCCAAAAATGAGCAACCAGAGCTGCTCCGTGTTTCCTTTGCTTCTCCCTCCTCTCTCTGTAGGAAGGTCTTGGGAAGGCAGCGGGGTTTTGGGGAGACACCGGGCACCCCCGGTGGCATGGAGGGGCTTGGCTGCACACTGGTGGCGTGGGTAAGGTGGGAAGAGGAATTTTTTAAAGTGGGAAATGTCTTAAAAGCCGAGGGGACTGTGTGTTCCTGCCCAGTGCCCGGCTCTGTTCGTACCTTCGGGAAGTTTTATGTTGGATTAAAATTGTCCCTTGCGCTGAGTGTGGTGTCCAGTGGCATTGGAGCGTGCAGGGCAGCGAGTGCCCGCTCTGGGGGTGATGGCAGGGGGTGAACGGGGTGCCAGCACAGCTGGGAGGGGAGGGAGGTGGCCCTGCAGTGGCACTGGGAGGCTGGCACCCAGCCTGGCTCCAGTACCAGTCCCAGTGTGGTGCCAGTGCCTGGAGCAGCGTCCCACACCCCAGTGACCTGTGCCCAGGGCAGTGCCCCGTGCTTGGTGCCACGCCCCACTCCAGGTATGCCCCATTCCCAAATCCCTGCCCCAGTCCCAAATCTGTGCCCCATTCCCAAATCTGTGCCCCATTCCCAAATCCCTGCCCCAGTCCGAAATCCATGCCCCTTTCCCAAATCCCTGCCTCATTCCCAAATCTGTGCCCCACTCCCAAATCCATGCCCCAGTCCCAAATCCGTGCCCCACTCCCAAATCCATGCCCCTTTCCCAAATCCATGCCCCATGCCCTGTTCCCGGTGCCATCCTGGTGTTCAGTGCAGTCCCAGTTCCTGGTGCAGCCCTGGTGCTGCGCCTCGTTCCTGATTCAATCCCGGTTCAATCCCAGTACAATCCCTGTTCAGTCCCGGTTCAGTCCCAATACAATCCCAGTTCAATCCCGGTTCAATCCTGGTACAATCCCTGTCCAATCCCGGTTCAATCCCGCTACAATCCCCGTTCAATCCCGGTGCTGTGCCCCGTTCCCGGTTCAATCCCGGTGCAATGCCGGTACAATCTCGGTGCTGTGCCCTGTTCCTGGTTCAATCCCGGTTCAATGCCGGTTCAGTCCCGGTTCAATCCCGGTGCTGTGCCCCATTCCTGGGACAATACCGGTACAATCCCCATTCAATCCCGGTGCTGTGCCCCGTTCCCGGTTCAATCCTTGTTCTATCCCGGTTCAATCGCGGTTCAATCCCAGTACAATCCGGTACAATGCCGGTTTAATCCTGGTGCTATGCCCCGTTCCCGGTTCAATGCCGGTGCTGTGCCCCGTTCCCAGTTCAATCCCGGTACAATGCCGGTGCTGTGCCCCGTTCCCGGTTCAATCCCGGTACAATCCCTGTTCAATCCCGGTACAGTCCCCGTTCAATCCTGGTTCAATCCCGGTGCCCGATGCGGTGTCCGCTCCATTCGCCACCAGGGGGCGCCACCGCGCCCTCCCTCCGGGCCCCCTCGGCTCCTTCCGTAGAGTCTCGCGCGAGGGGCGGGGCCCCGATAGCGATCGGGCCAGGGGAGGGGCGGGGCCGGAGCCTTCGGTCAGCTCCGTCCTCTGTCGTCTGCTCTCGGTTATTTCCGGGATAGATTCGGGCAGTTCCGTTCTCTCTCGTCGGCTGTCGGCTGTTTCCGGGGCGGGTTCGGGCCGTTCCGGCGACGCTCGGGCCTGTCCAAGGCTCCGCCGGGCCGGAGGCAGCAGCGGGCTGGAGGCGAGCGGCGGCGGATGGGGCCGGCGGAGAGGTGCGGCGGGGCCGGGAGCGGCGGGATCGGGATCGGGGCATCGGGATCGGGGCGAGCGGGCACGGATCGGAACCAGGCCCAGGGTGGGCGTCGGGACCCCCTGATCGTGAGGCGCCCCGGGGCTTGGCTCTGTCCCTCAAGGGGCAGCCTCGAGGATGTCCCCGGACCCTTCGGGAGCTGCCGGCGCAGGGTGTCCCGCTGCCAGGACACTGCCACTGCCGTGTGGCTTCGCCGTGATGCCGGGGCTATGGCCCCCGGTTCCCCCCAGGGCTGATCCTGTGTCCTCCCATTGACGGGGCTGTGCCCCCCGATTCCTCCCGATCCGTCCCTGTCCCCCCATTGTCGAGGATATGCCCCTCGGTCCGCCCCAGGGCTCTCTCTGTGTCCTCCCATTGCCGGGGCTGTAGCCCCCGATTCCTCCCGATCCGTCCCTGTCCCCCCTTATTGTCCAGTATATGCCCCCTGGTCCCCCCAGGGCTGATCCTGTGTCCTCCCATTGCGGGGGCTGTGCCCCCTATTTCCCCCTCGAGCTGTCCCTGTCCCCCGCATTGTCGGTGCTGTACCCCCGATCCCGCCCCGAGCTGTCCCTGTCCCTCCATTGCCGGGGCTGTGCCCCCCCATCCCGCCCCGAGCTGTCCCTGTACCCCCCATTTTCGGAGATATGCCCCCTGGTCCCCCCCAGGGCTGATCCTGTGTTCTCCCATTGCGGGGGCTGTACCCCCAATCCCCCCCTCGAGCTGTCCCTGTCCCCCCCATTGCCAGGGCTGTGTCCCCCGATCCCTCCGAGCTTTCCCTGTCCCCCCATTGCTGGAGCTGTACCCCTGATCTCCCCCGACCTGTCCCTGTCCCCCCCATTTTCGGGGATATGGCCCCCGGTCCCCCCCCAGGGCTGATCCTGTGTCCTCCCATTGCGGGGGCTGTGCCCCCGATTACCCCTCCGAGCTGTCCCTGTCGCCCCCATTGCCAGAGCTGTGCCTCCCAGTTCCCCCCAGAACTGTCCTTGTCCCCCTGGTACCTTGTCCCCCTGGTACCCGACCTCCCCCCCACAAGCTGTCCCTATCCCCCCATTGCCGGGGCTGTCCCCCCCCCCCCCAATCCTGCCCCAAGCTGTCCCTGCTGTCCCCCCCATTTCCCCCTGGGCTGTCCCTGTCACCCTCATTGCCAGGGCCCAGATCCCTCCTGGTTGTCTGCAGCCATCACAGATCCCCCTCTGTGCCACTGTCCCCACACTGGTGATAGTGCAGGGACCCCCCCATCACCGAGAGTCCTGGGGGTCCCGTGGGCCTCTCAGGTCCCAGCTCTGTTCCCCCTGCCCTGGGGCAGCTCACACCCAGCGGTTCCCGGGCTGGAGCTGGTGCCCCAGGGATGTGCCAGGTTCAGCCCAAGGGTGGCTTTGCAGGGCATCCCCCAAGCCCTGCTCTGGCATGAGCCCCCCCACTCCTTCCCAGGGAGGTTGGCCATTGCATTTCTTCCCTTCCTGGGGATGTTTCTCAGCCCCTTGAGGAGGAAGATTCCCATGGTCTTGTGCCTCCTGAACTGGGGGCCTGTGATCGGTGGGGGGATAAAACCAGGGGGTAAAACTGTGGAGAAAAGCGAGCTGTGAGGAGCTGGAGCAGCCCCAGCGCTGCCTTTCAATGGAGCCGAGGCTGCCTCTCCTCCCATTAACGCAGCTTTGATTTCCCAAGCAGCTCTTGGAGCCGCTGGGGAACTGGCCCTGTGACTTTCTCTGTGAGAGCAGAGAATGGAGACAGCTGAGTAAATATAGCCTAAATCACTGCTTTCCTGGCCATTCCCCCACCCTTCCCCGACGTGCCACGGGCTGCTGTGTCCCCGAGGCTGCACTGGGCTCTGCTCTGGCCTTCCACCCTGTGGGAAAGTCCAGGGCATGGTTTGGTTTCTTTGGTGGCTCTCTTTGACGTGGGCAGCTCGCGCTTCCAGCTTCGTGGCACGGCCTCGTTCCTCCTCAAGCTGATTTCTGCCCCAAACCCCAGCGTTCCCAGCTCACTGGAACAAGGTTTTAGGCACACAGGAAAATCCTCTGTGCCTGCAGTTGGGTCTGGCTTGGACAAAGGCGCTGGGCTGGAAGGGAGAGCGCGGCTCAGCTGGAATGTGGCGAGCAGCAGAGTGGTTTGCGGAGCCAGTTTGGAGCCGTGTCAGAGCTCTGAGTGCCGGGGTGTGTTTACAATGAAAAAGAGTATTTATAATATCGAGGGCTCTTTTTAATTCCTCTGGGAATCTCTGGAGCCGCAGCTTGGAGCTAAAGTAGCTGGGTAATGGAAGATGAAAAGCAGACAGAGGAAGGGATGGTGGATTTCTTCTTCTTCCTTCAAGTTGGAAGGTCTTGGCTCTCTCACCAATACCCAAATCATGCTGCGCTATTAACTTGGGTGCTTCTTACCTTGTCGGTTACCTCATGTGATTGCTGAGCTGTGCAGAGCTGCTAATAAATCATATAAATTCCAAATACCCTGGGGAACGTGATTTTAAGCAGATAAGTTAGCAAGAGCAGTTGGATTTTTTTTTTTTTCATGTACTCAGGTTTTTTTTAGAACTGTAATTTTTTTGCCAAAATCCAGCTCCTGGGTTTCTATATCCCTAAAGCCAGCTCCATGAATGCTCCTAAAATGGAATTAGTGTGTTCTTGCTGCGTGGGGGATGGTGTAAAAGCAGCTTGGAGTGAGGTGCTGGGTCCTTCTCTGCCCACTGCCAGCAAATAAAAGTCTCTGGCCACATAAAAATGTCTTGTAGGCAGGAGGAGAAAGTTTGTGAGGTGGTTAAGAAAGAACAAGCTTCAGCTGGAGCAAGGAAGTTCAGTTTCAGGAGAAGCCTCTGGACAGTGTGAGAAGCCTTGGAGTAGGTGTGCAGACTGAGGTGCTCTCATGCTGCCCAGCCTTTGAGCAGGAGATCTCTGGGACTTCCAGTGGTCTCCCAAAAGTGAGGATGGTGTTGGTCATCTTGTTTTGTTCAACTCCTCGTGTCCCTGCTAATCATGACATTGACCTTTTCAGTGAAATATTTCAGATATTCCTTCATTTCCTCGGGCTTTGGTGAATAAAGCAAGATATTTAATGAGACTCAGGCATGAGCAGGAGATGCTCAGTGTCCCTGGCAGAGGGTGGCTTGTGGCTGTGGGCAGGAGCTGCTGCTGGCTGCCTGGGAAGCATTTTTGGTGAAAAGAAGAGGTGAAAACTGCCTTGGCTGTCCCATGCCTGGCTGGGGCACGGCTCAGGCATAGCTCCCCTCCTCCCCTGCAGCTTTTCCCTGTTTGGAAGGAAATACCAGCTGGCTTGGCAGCGCCGTGGCCAGCCCGGGCTCGGCTCTCCCTGCTCCGCTGGCCGCTTCCCCAGGGGCAGCTGCTGGAGCGCGTCCAGCCCCGCTTCCCGCCCGCCCCAGCTCCCCGCAGGCTCTCCCAGCTCCTTCCCCCACAGCTCCTCGTGGCACTGCTGCCTCCAGCACGGCCTGCCTCATGGCTCCAGCCTCGCCAGACCTTTCTCCAGTCATTGTTCTGCCTGGGAGCTCAAGGATTTGCTGTGCTGTTTGTCCTGGTTATAAATCAGGGGCTTGCCAAGCTCTTTGCCCTCTCTGCCGCTCGGTGGGCACAGGATGACCCATGGTGTGCTTGCCATTGCCAGCTCCAGGAGCTGAGGCCATCAGAGCTGCCCTGGCTGCGTGGGTCAGAAGGATGTGATGCAGCAGCAGATGTCACCGTGGCAGGCAATTCCCTGTCCATTTTTATTCCCATCCATCATTGCATTGTTCTGTTTTCTCTTTTTATTAAAGGAAAAGTTTGTTCTTTTTGTCTGTAACTTGCAGTTCGAACTCGATATGGTGTTTGTTTTGCTCACTGAGGATCTGATGTAACTTGGAGAGGTTGGAGCTGCGTATACTGGTGTGAGCATATTCTACTTTTAAATATTTTTATGCATTCTTTCCTCTCTCTGCAAGGAAAGTAACTCAGTCTTGCTTCAAGTCAAGCTGCACTTTGAACTGCATTTGGAACTGGGTTAAAAAGCACAGGAACCACATTTAAAATGTTAAGATGCTTTTATTTATGTGCTGGGCACAGACAAAAAGACTTGTAATGTGTTTTTTGTTTCAAACCGATGTATTAAACAAAGAAAGTATTGACAGCAGTTAATGAATCGAGGGATTGTTTCTGGGCGCTGAGATAGATTTACCAAAGGTATTTAGCTGTCTGATGCATGGGATTTTCAGAGCAGCCTAAGCAAGTGCTCGCCAGCACAGACACACGAGGTTCCTCTCTGAGAGCTGAGCAGAGCTGGAGCTGGGCCCAGCAGAAATCTTTTGGCGCGGTGCTGCTCTCTCCTGCTCCGAGGTGCGCTTCCAGCCGACAGGCTCGTGCGTGTCCCGGCCTCTCAGCGCTGCCTTCCCTCCAAAGAGCTGTTCCAGGGCTTGGGAAGTGTGTGTTCCCAATCCCCAGAGCTCTGCCAGCTGCTCTCCAAGGGTGCAGAGCCTTCCTGCAGCTCAGCCAGGGAAGCCTCTGCAGGACAGAGGACAGCTGTTGCCCCTGGAGAGGACGGTGCTGGCACTAGCCATGAGGATTTGGGTCTCTTGGGGGGCTCCTCACTCATGTTCATGAGCACTCAGTGCCCGCCTGGGCTGAGTGTGAGGAAAGCAGGTGAGGCTTCTCCAGGAATAGCCTGGCTCTGAGTTGTCTGGATTTTTTCATGTGCCCAGTGACCTGCTGGGACGTGGCGAGCGTGGTGGCACAGAGCTGTGCCTGCATTCCCACCCCAGGGAAGAAGGCTGTGAAGGAGTCAGTTGGAAGAAGCTGTGGGACCTGCTCTTTGGAGACACTCGGTGCTCCAGAGTCACTCTCCTCTTCCCAGCCCTCCACGCAGATCTGCTTTTAAAAGCTACTGAACGAGTTTGCCAGGCCTGAGCGTTTTGTCCTTCCAGCCTCTTCAGCTGCACCGGCTTGTCGGAGACGCCTGCAGTCGGGGCTGGGATCCGCGGGTGGAAGCTGGGGGGGAGCATTGACCCTGCTGGTGTTGGGCTCTGCTGCCTCTGGGTGCACTCTGGAGTCTGTCCTCTCTGAGAGGAGCCACTCTGGGGTCTGGGAGGAGCTGGAGCTGCCAGCGCCGTGCCCAGCGGCCACTCAGGCCCTTGGCATCCAGACAGTGCCCCCGGCACGGCGACTCCGCTCTGGGGGACCCTGACAGGCAGCACTCAGAGGGGCAGCCAGTCAGCCTGGTCATAAATCTCTCTTTATGCTCTGGATTATGAAGTAATATTTTCCTGGCTAGGGCTGGTTGGATTGGGGAAATGCGGCTCTGCTGCGAGTTCCTTGCAGCCACTATCCCAACACGATGGGAGCTTTCACAGCGGCCATGCTGGGCTGTGCTGCTTCCCCCGTGAACATCAGAAACCTCTGTAGGTTCTCTCCATGAATTCTGCAGTCTGCTGTTGCTCCTGGAGCTCTGGAGAAGCTCTCCAGCAAGTTGGATCAGGCTCAATCCTGTTCCCCACCCGCCTCTGGCCGCAAGTGCCTCACCTCCCCGCGGGCAGTGCCTGTTCATTCATGGCAAAGACAGCCCGGCTGGGACGCCTGCCCGAGCTCAGGCAGGCGGTGCGGGCTCTGGCTGCTGCGCAGGTTTCCTGTGCCATGGCCTCTTTGTGCCTTTTGTCCTTGTCAAGGGAAGGAGCCCTGGTGCCGAGCTGGAGAGCCTGGCTCTGAGAGGTGGGGCTGGCTCCTCTCTCGGGGGACTCACCCCGATCCCACCACACAGACTTTGTGGCAGCACGTGCAGATGTGGTGACACGTGCAGGGGTGATATACCACGTGCAGGAGGAAAGAGGGATTTGTAGCTGATATGAACTCTAAAGTGTAACTGGCCCGGAAGGGTTATTTTGAAATCCTGCAGATCACCACCGTTGGTGCCTGTCACAGAGTCCAACCAGCAGTCAGAGCAGCCCTGGCTTGGTGCCATGCTTGGTTCCTCTGGGAAGGGTGTCCTGGCTCCCTTTGCCTCCTCACCTCCCTCTGCCCAGGCTCCCACAGCCCTGAGAAGCACCTTCCTGCTCACTAATAGTTTTCAGATGAGGCTCAAGAGTTTGAGCTGGGTTTGGTGGTTTCTGGGCCAAAACAGCTCAAGCCTTTAACAGGATTTTAGCAGCATTTGAGCAGGCCCAGGGTGTCCCTGGGAAGGCTGGGTTCTGGCTGCCCCGGTGCCTTGCAGGTCCGGTCCTCGGCCGCACGCCATTTCTGCGGGAAGCAGAACTCTGGGATTTGCCTGAGGGAAGTGGAAAACTGGCCTGTGCAGCCAGGAGGGGATGGGAAAAGAGGACGTGCCTGGCTGGTGGGAATGTCCCGGCTCGTACATCTCTTCAGCAACATGTTATAACCCAGGTTTATTCTTTTTGGTGGATTTCTGGGCAGGGCAGGCAGCATATTCAATTTCTCTCTGAATAGCTGAAAGGCAGTTAGGAGCTCTAAGTAGACTTGAAGGCTTCTAAAGATTATTTTAACTCCTTTTGCCTCCATCTCTGCAAAGAAAACCTGTGCCTGCACTTGATGCTGCTGCTGCTTTTGAAAAGTTCAAAAATTGACTTTTTGCTCAGAGCAAAGCTTTGAAGTGCTGTTCTGTGAGAATGGCAGCGCATCTCGAAAGCCTTTTGCTGAAAGCGTGGTTAACCTACATTTGTGGGGAGCTCCCTTCAGAAGATGCCTTTGTGGGGGATTGCATGGCAAGATGTAAAGGTGAACAGTGAAATTTAATCGATTTAACAAGGGAAGGTTAAATCTGTTTGTTCTGCTCCCATTCAGGGCCTGCAGCTGGTGGGTGCAGGGTCACCCTTTTCTGTATGCAAAAGTTATCCTGCATAAAGGCTGTTTTGTCCCACTTGTTGTCTCCTTGTTTGCATAAGTGCTGCGAGGAGGGTAAGCTGAAGAAGCAGGGGTGAACCTCTTTAAGATGCAGAGCTGGTGCCTGGCTGTAGCAGAGAGGAGGCAGCGTTCCTGCCCGCAGCCACTGGCTCCTCTCTTGCTTTTGGGAGTGTAAATCGGGATTAGCATGCCCTGCTTGGATCCAGGGCTCTGCTAGGTAGGAGAGAAACGAGTCCTGCCTCTCTCAGGTGAACCCCTGGTTTGAATGTTGGTGTGTCAGGAGGGTGTGGGGTGCCTGGCCGTGCAGTGACAATTCTTCTTCTCTTTGCAGGCACTGGGAAGGGGAACATAGCGTGCCACGCTGTTCCAGGCTGGGAGCCTACTGTGCTTTTCCTCCCCACACTCCAAGAGACTGGTTTTTTTGGTGAAACAGACCCTGATCTCGGGTTTCTTTGCTGCATGCCCGCTCACCAGTGCTGGATTATGTTCGTCTCCTTCTCCCTTTGCTCCATAATTTGGCTGAATCGTGGTTTCAAGCTGAGGAAAAGGGGCTGCACCTAAGCGCTCCTGGGCACCCACACCAGGCTCCTGGGGTGCTGCTTCACACAGAGACAGTTCAGAGAGCTGATGGGGCAGAGCTGCCTCTGAGGGCTCTCCTCTCCCACCTGGAACGTGCTGCCTCACCCTTCAGAGCCCTTCTCCCCCGGCAGAGAGGATGGGCAGCACCGACGGCTTCCAGTACCGCGCGCTCTACCCCTACCGCAAGGAGCGCGAGGAGGACATTGACCTGCTGCCCGGGGACATCCTGGTCGTGAGCAAGGGGGCCCTGCAAGCCTTGGGCTTCAAGGATGGAGATGAGCAGACCCCCAATCAGATCGGGTGGATCCTGGGCGTCAATGAGCGCACCAAGCAGAAGGGAGACTTCCCTGGCACCTACGTGGAGTACGTGGGGCCGGTGAAAATCGCTGTCCCCTCACACCGGCCCCGCGTGCAGAGACCCCTGCCTGCCACACCCGGGGCCACTGGTGGCCGGCTGCCCGAGGCTTTGGAGCAAGGTAAGCCCTGCTGTGTGCCCTGTTGCTCTGGGACACCTCCACAGTCTTGCTGTGTGACTGGCTTCATAGGACAGCGGTGAAACCCTCAGCTCAGCAGCACTGTGTTGCCCCACCAGCAGCAGTACAGTTGAGTCACAACCAAAAGCCAGCCTCTCTCAGTGCTGGCCCAGAGGAAAGCACTTTGTTCCTCCAGCTTGTCAATCTGCTCAGCAGAGCTTCCTGGGGTGTGCGTTGTCCCACTCTTACATCTCCAAGATCCTTCTCCCCCTCTGTTCTGCAACCAGCCAGGATCTCCATGATCCCTCTCCCTGCTCCACTGAGTTTTGCCAGGCTCCCTCCCTTCAGGATAAGTCCTGACCTCTCCCAACCACCACCTCCCCGCCCCTGCAGCGCCTGGGGCAGTGCTCCCTGCCAAGAGCTGCTCAGCCCTGCTGAGAGACACAATTACTTGTCTCTGGGCAAGAGGAGAAAAGTCAGGGTCTAAAAGAGTTCTTCTGAGAACTGGAGCTAATTGCTTGTCTGCCTGGCAGCCTGCCCACCCCGCGGGTCGCATTGCCCTCGCTGGGGCCAGGCAGCCACCCTGGGGCTGGGCATGGGCTGTCCTGCACCTGCAGCTGCCTCCAGCCTGCCTGGCCTTGGCACAGACCCGGCCTGGGAGAGCCAACATGCCTCAGCCCTGCCTGTGGAGCTGTGGCAGCTGCCTGCTCTCAGCCTGTTTGTTTGGCTCCCAGGCACACAAACCCCGTGGCCAGGGCTCAGCAGCCCCCAGGGTTTCTCCCTTCTACTCTTCCTTTGTGAGACCCCCACCTGCAGTGCTGAGTCTGGGTCTGGACAAGGCAAGAAAAATGTGAGCCTGTTAGAGTGAGTCCTGAGGAGACCACAGAAATGCTCCTAGGGCTGGAGCCAGGCTGGGAGAGCTGGGGGTGTTCACCTGGAGAAGAAAAGGCACTAGGAGACCTTATTGTGGCCTTCCAGTGCTTATGTAAAAGACGGAGAGAGGCTTCTTATACAGACAGATAGTGATAGGACAAGGGGGAAGTTTTAAATTAAAAGAGGGAGAGATTTAGATTAGATGTTATGAAGACATTCCTGACTGTGAGGGTGGTGAGGCCCTGGCACAGGTTTCCTAGAGCAGCTGTGGCTGCCCCATCCCTGGAAGTGTTCCAGGTCAAGCTGGATGGGGTTTGGAGCAACCTGATCTAGTGGAGGATGTCCCTGCACAAGGCAGGGGGGGTTTAATGGGTGATCTTTTAAGGTCCCTTATAATCCAAACCATTCTGTGATCCACACTTGGCCTTCCCATGCCTGACAGAAGATCTCGTGCTGGTGTCCATGGGAGGAGCGGGGTCAGCAGCAGGAGCTGCAGAGTGCCAGGGAACGCTCCCAGCTGGCAGTGCTGCATCCTCCCCGTCCCTCTGTGCCTGGGAGCCACGGCTACCCCAGCAGATGCTTCTGGCTGTGTGAAAACACCTCTGGGGTCTTACGAAAGCGGGCTTGTGGGGCTGGTGCAGCTCCCTGCAGCTGCCTCCCGCTCCCGGAGCCCGAGGGGCGGCCCCAGGAAACATCTCCGCAGGGTGGGAATGCGGCCGGGCCCTGCTGCGTTTGGCTTGGCAGGAGAGCCTGACCTGAGTCATCCCGCTTGCAACCTGCCTTTCCAAGAAAGCTGCTCCTCTCAGGAGCCTGGGGTGTGCTCTGTGCTGCTGCTCTGTGCTGCTGGGATGTGCTCTGTGCTGCCTGTGCTGCCCTTGCCTGCACGGTGCTCCCTCCAGGGCTGGATTTCTGCCCTTCTCCTCTCTCCCCTCTTCTCAAGGGGGCTTGGTCTGGGTGGTCAAAGCTGCTGGTGGGGTCTCTGGGAGGTGGAACAAGATATCTGCCAAAGCTCCTGAAGCACGGCAAAGATAAATTTGGGAAGGAAAGCAAAAGCCAGCCTCTCTGCTTCGTGCCCAGGGATGGAGGGTGGGGTGCCAGGGCACGTGAGACCAGCTTTGTCCCACTCTTACATCTCCGAGATCCTTGTTCCCCTCTGTTCTGCAACTAGCCAGGATCCTCATGGTCCCTCTCCCTGTTCCACTGAGTTTTGCCCTGTCCCTGTCCCCTATGGGGCCATCCCCAGAGCCAACCTCCACTCTGGGCATAGGCAGGGCCTGCAGGGAGGCAGTTCAAACACCCAGAGCCTGCTGGTTTGATCCCTCTATGAGCCATTCACTTAAGAGCTGGACTTGAAGGTCTTTGTGGTTCCCTTCCAGCTCAGGATATTCTGTGATACTTTATTTCTGCATTCTGCTGGAGAGACACATTTTTGCAATGGAAAAACCGTATTGGAGCCAAGCCTGTCTTATTTCTTCACAGTGTGCACTTTAGGAGGTGCAGAACCATCTCCTGGCAGCTCCTTCCCTGCTTCCCAGCTCCTGCCCTGGCTGGCAGGGACCCCTGAGCCCCTCAGTGTCCCTCGTGGAGCAGGGCCAGCCCCACAGCTGTCCCGGCTGCAGCGTTGTGCCGCTGGATTTACGAGCTGCTGGTGTTTGCCTTCCGCAGAGAACACGAGCGGAAAATGCGGCTCGGGAATATTTCCGCAGCTGCCCGGGCCGTGCTGTGAGCAGCCTTGTTCACCACGGCAGCCCAGCCCGGAGGCCCGGCAGGCTCAGGAGTTGCTGCTGGCTCCCCGCTCTGTGCCTGACAAAAAAAGACAAGCTGCTGCCTGCTGAAGCAGCACATTCCCGGCCGGGCCACGTGGGCAGCGCCAGTATTTACTCTCCTTTCAGTTCTTCCCAAGGGTCAGGCAGGGAGCTGCCAGCCTGGAAGTTTGCCTGCAGCTTCCCCACACCAACACCATGCCCAGGAGCTCGCTGCACTGTGGGATTGTCCCCCCTTCCAGCAGCACAGGCCTTTGCAGAGCTGCTGGGTGCCTGACACGTGTCCTTCCCTTCCCTTCCCTTCCCTTCCCTTCCCTTCCCTTCCCTTCCCTTCCCTTCCCTTCCCTTCCCATCCCATGGCTGTTGTGTCTCCCCTCGAGGCCCTGGGTGCAGGAGGCTGAGCTGGGTGCTCAGTTCCAGCTTGCTGCGCCTTGTGGTGAGACCACACCAGGCGAGCTCGGGTCAGATCCATGACAACGGAGCTGTTTCGCAACGGGGAGCAGCCTCTTGGCTCTGCCTCTGCACAGTGGAGTGTGCTGGGTGTCCTCACCCACTGCGGGCTCCCCAGGGTCTGCCAGGTGCTGTGGACCAGCCTGGAGGAAGCTCCTGCTCAGGCTGGTGCTGCTTTGGAAGGGGATGGAGCCTGGCACCGCTCATCCCTCGGCAAACCTCCTGCTGGCAGCTCCTCAGCCAGGCCTGCGTGCTCCTGCCCCGGCATGCACAGGGGAGGGGGTGCCTGCAGCCAGAACCTCAAGATTTTCTGGAAGTGGCAGTGGAACACCACCTGACACGGGGCTGCAGATCCCCCAGGAATGGGGGGATGCTGGTCCCGTGCCACGGGCTGGCTGTGCCCTGTAGCAGCTTGCACAGAGGCTGTGGGCTCACGGGGAGGGGGAGGCACAGGGCCGGTTTCCATGTTAAACGAGCAATCAAGGGCAGGAATTTGCTGACACGGCGTTCTGTCTGAATCGCTGGATTAATCACAGCTCACCACGACGAGCAGAGCGAGCTCCCTGGCCCCGCTCCCCTGCCAGCCCTACGCAGCCCCTGTGCTGGGCAGGGACCCAGCCCTGAGCTCCAGGAGCCCTGGTAACCCCTGTGCTGCCTGCCCGGGGGGGTACAGGTCCCCAGGGGGGTGGGCTCTGTCTCCAGGCCTCAGCACAGAGCAGCAGATATCTCCCTGTGCACACCCAGTCAGGGCTGGAGCTCAACAAGTGCTGGCTCCTGGGCAGGTTGCTTGCAGGCTGCATGCTGTGTTTGCCTGGGTCACAGCCTCACAGAGGGGGCCACAGCTTTCCTTGCTCCTGTTGGGAGTTGCATGGGTTGTACCCTGACCCAGTTCTGCTGCTGGTGCTGAGCCTTTCTCTCCCTCCCTCTCCCCCAGGGTCTCCTCTCCCGGACTTGCAGGAGCAGTTCAGCCCTCCCGAGATTGCTCCGCCGCTCCTGGTCAAGCTGGTGGAAGCTATTGAGAAGAAAGGTAAGGGGGCGATGCTGATACACCCCAAAACCCCACAAAGAAACCTGAGCTCTGTGGGACACACAGGACACAGCTGCTCTCATCTTCCTCCCTGGGCTGAGCTGCTGAGGCCCATGAGGGTGTTTGGATTGAGCACCTACACGCACTGGGTGGGTGCTGGGGTTTGGGAAGCGTTTCTCAGTTCCCAGCCTGGATCTGTGCTATGGTGGAGAAATGGGGCCACTGAACCGGGTGTCCTGGGGGCCAAGGGGGCTGCAGCAGGGGGGTTGGCTTGGACACCATCCAGGCCTGGCCGTGCCACAGCCATGGCCCAGCTGGCACCGAAATAGTGCCTGTGCTGGAGCTGACAGCAGTGTCCCCCCTTCCGCAGGGTTGGACAGCGAGATGCTGTACAGGACATCTGGCTCCGAACTGAGGCAGGCGCTGAGAACCGGTAAGAACCAGCTCGGCGCGGTGGAGGCGAATCGGCTCAGATGGAGGAGATTAGTGGATGTGACAGCGCCAGCAGTAATGCAATCCAGGCCAGGCTCGCCTGTCCCCGGCAGTTCCTGACTCCCAGCACGCTGCCTCTGGGGCTGGGCTGTCCCCATCCCAGCACGGCCTTGTCCTGCGTGGAAGGGATGCGACAGGGGGGATCCCTGGCTCCATCCGTGGGGGGCTGGCTCACAGAACCCCTGTGCCTGTCCGCTACTCTCCTGATGGGCTGCTGGAGGCTTCTCTGGCTCTGTCATGCCACTAATAAGCAGGGGAGGATCTTTGAGCTCAGTTTGGTGGCTGGAGCCGATGTCTGTGCCGGGGAGCCCTGGGAGCCGTCTGCCTCTCAGCTGGGCTGGGGCCTCATCCGGCACCACGCTGGCGAGTCCCCTCCCGCAGACGTTCCTGCAAACCCCAAGCACACAGTGCTGCCAGGCTGGGCTCTTGGGACAGGCTTTTTGTGCTTCCCAAAATGCAGGCTGGGCTCTTGGGACAGGCTTTTTGTGCTTCCCAAAATCCTGTGTTCGAGGGAGGCGTGTGGCTGCTCAGTCTGTGCTCTACCCTTGCTGGCAGCAGAGAGCAAAACTCTCACCCGAACTATACCTGCTCAGAATTCTTCTGTTGGGGCTCAGAGCAAAGGTTGTGGGTACACAGAATGACCTCTGCCCTCTCCCAAGGGGAACTGCTGGGGTTCCCAGAGCCAGATTATTTCTGGGGTGCACATCCTCTGTCACATGAGCTGCCTGAAGGCTGCATGAGCTCCCTCGTGGGTGCTAATGAGCTCTCATGATAGCTGGCTGCTGTGTGATGGTTTCTGGGATGGGTGTTGGCAGCTGGGTGCCCAGTGCTGTGTCCGCCCTCCCATGGGAAATCTGTGCCCTGACAGATTGGACCCTGGGTGACCTGGAGCCCCTGGACGTGCACTCCCTGGGCGAGGCACTGCGAGGTTACCTGCAGGACCTGCCCTCCCCCGTGGTGCCGGTGTCAGTGCACGGAGATATCCTTCGCATCCTGCAGGGTAAGGGCCTCCCTGGCTGCCTTGGGAATGGGTGCCTGGGTGGGATGGGATATTAAAATAAGCCCTGTCCCTAAGGGGCCTGGCACACGGCCCCCAGTGCTGACAGCTCTCCTGTGCTGTGACGCAGCCGGAGCGTGGAGAGTGGTGCCGGCTGTCCCAGCTCTTCCCTCGCGTCTTGTTCTCTCCCCAGAGATCCCCCAGGCAGAGAATTGCCGGAAGCAGCTGCTGCTGGCCCTGGAGTCGCCTGCGGTGCCGCTCCAGAACACGCTCACCCTGCAGTTCCTGCTCCGGCATCTGGGGAAGGTATCGCAGCAGGCCGAGAGCAACAGCCTCCACCCTCGGGCCCTGGGAGAGATCTTCGGGCCCCTGCTCCTCCGGCTGCCTGGCGCCAGGTACGTCAGGCTCCTGGTCCCAGCAGTGCTCCCAGCTCCGGCCACTGGGCCTGCCAGGACAAGGACTCCAGTCCCTGCTGGGCTGCACGTGGGATTGAACTGCTGGCAGCACACAGAGGTGGGCTCAGAGCTGGGACAGAGCCCTTGCTGCCCTGACAGCCTCAGGTCTGGCAGCTGGGGTGAGCCAGCTGACCCCAGGGGATGTGGGAGCAGTGCCGTGTTGCATCCCGCAGCTTCTGTTCTTAACTTTTCTCTCCCTGCAGCCCAGAGCTGAGCCCTGACTTCTCCGTGCTGTTTCTGGAGACACTTCTGCAGACAAAGGAGCTGGAGCCAGAGCAGTTGCCTCCAGGTACTGAGATACCCCTTCCCTGGGGCCTGAGGCACTGGCATTTGTGGGTGTGGACTCTCTGCCCCCATGATTGGGTTGCTCAGGGCGTTTTGGTAGCCTGGAGGCCGGCTCAAGGTGTTCAGCTGCTGGAGATGTGCCTGGAGCAGCTCCAGTGAACGTGGTGGCCAAGGGGCATTCCTGGGCCAGTCATTGCAGGGAGGGAGACTCAGGGATTGCCAGTGAGGAGCTGGGATTTGGGCTCACCCTGTTTCATCCCTCCTCCTCTCACAGCCCTGCCTCCCAAACCGCCGAAGCCGAAGCCCAGCGCAGCCAGCCTGGCCAACGGGAACAACGCGCCCTTACAGGACGCCGAGTGGTACTGGGGGGACATTTCCAGGTAAGGCAGCTCACACCTGGGGTGCCCTGTCCATCAGGTGAGCCTTGGGGCCACCTCCCAGGCCGTGACAATCGTGTTCCTCACAGGGAGGAGGTGAATGAGAAGCTCCGGGACACACCAGATGGGACCTTCTTGGTGCGTGATGCCTCCAGCAAGATCCAGGGGGAGTACACACTCACACTCAGGTAGGGCTTTGGGATCCCCTGGGAGCCTCAGGGGTGCAGCTCGTGGGACATGTCCCTGTGCTTCCAGGGCTGCTAGAGATGGCTGGGGTGATGCTAAGTGCCCTCTGCTCTCCCCTGCATACAGGAAGGGAGGCAATAACAAGCTGATCAAGATCTTCCATCGGGAAGGCAAGTACGGCTTCTCGGAGCCGCTGACCTTTGGCTCGGTGGTGGAGCTCATCACCCACTACAGGCACGAGTCACTCGCCCAGTACAACGCCAAGCTGGACACCAGGCTGCTCTACCCCATCTCCAAGTACCAGCAGGTGAGGCCTGTGCTGCAGGGACATGGCTGGCAAGCACAGTCTGAACCAGAGGTGTTCGTTCATCCATCCCTGCCCTGCTGGTAGATGATAATGTCCCATCCCTCTCCCTGTGTGCTGGAATGTTTTGTTGTGGGGTTTTGTGGGACCAGCTGGAGCAGGTCCTGACTGAGGCTGTGCCTGTGGCAGGACCAGGTGGTGAAGGAGGACAGCGTGGAAGCTGTGGGGGAGCAGCTGAAGGTTTATCACCAGCAGTACCAGGACAAGAGCTGGGAGTACGACCTGCTGTATGAGGAGTACACACGTACATCCCAGGTATGTGGGCACTGCTCTGTCACCCCCTGAGTGCTGGCAGCCACCCTGTGTGCACAGGGGAGACCAGAGATGGGGCATCTGTTGCCTCATTTGTCAGCTCATGGACAGGCATTCCCCAGAGGACAGGCATGAAGAGGGGGATATTTTGCCTGCAGCAAGGACAGAGCTGCTTTGGGGAAGGTGAAACATTTCTGCAAATGTGCAGAAATGTTCCTCAGCTTTTCCCTCCCTTGTCCCCAGGAGCTGCAGATGAAGAGGACGGCAATCGAGGCCTTCAATGAGACGATCAAGATCTTTGAGGAGCAGTGTCAGACGCAGGAGAAGTGCAGCAAGGAGTACATCGAGCGCTTCCGGAGGGAGGGCAACGAGAAGGAGGTGCAACGGTGAGCATGGGGGTGGTGGGGGCCTGCCCTGCCTGCAGAAGGGCCCCAGGGGCTGCAAGGATCCTCCTGGCTCAGCACAGAGCCGAGGCACGTGGACTCCTTGTCTCTCCAGCAGCATGCTGTGGGCTGGAGCTGGCAGGCTGCCTCCCCTGCCTCCCCCACTCTGGCTCACAGCCTAAACCACCCCCCCTTATCTCTCCCAGGATCCTCATGAACTCGGAGAAGCTCAAGTCCCGCATCACAGAGATCCACGACAGCAAGATGAAGCTGGAGCAGGACCTGAAGAAACAAGCCTCGGAGAACCGGGAGATCGACAAGCGCATGAACAGCCTCAAGCCAGACCTGATGCAGCTGCGCAAGCTGCGGGACCAGTACCTGGTGTACGTAGTGCCCCTGCAGCGCTTCCCGGGAGCCACCCGCCTGCCTCCCCCGGGGCTCCGCGGCTCGTCGGACCGGCTCGCAGCCCGCTGTGGGCTGGAGCCGCTCCCGCAGCGCGGCCTCGGGGCTCGGCGCTCCCCGGCAGCGGCGGCTGCTGCCCTCTGGTGATGGCCGCGCCCGGGGCTCGCTGCACCGCGCTCAGCTCGGCTCTCCTCCCCCAGGTGGCTGACGCAGAAGGGTGCCCGGCAGAAGAAGATCAACGAGTGGCTGGGCATCAAGAACGAGACAGAGGAGTGAGTGTCCTGCTCGTGTGCTGTTGGGTTTGGGGGATGTGGGAGCACAGGCTGTTCAGCTGGTTCTGTTTGTGCTGTGGGCAAATCCCAGGATGTGTTCCCTGCCTGATGGGCGATGGCAGCTAGCAGTGTGGGGAGATGTGGGGGCCACACACCCAAATTTAGGGAATCTGACCCTGCCTGTGCTCGATTGCAGTCAATACTCCATGATGGATGACGAGGAGGAGCTGCCCCATCACGAGGAGAGGACGTGGTACGTGGGGAAGATCAACCGTGTGCAGGCAGAGGAGATGCTGTGTGGGAAACGGGACGGCACCTTCCTGATCCGTGAGAGCAGCCAGAAGGGGTGCTATGCCTGCTCCGTGGTGTGAGTATCCCTGTGTGGGTGGGGTGGGATGGGATGGGATCCATGGGATGGGATGGGATGGGATGGGATGGGATTGGGATGGGATGGGATGGGATGGGATTGATGGGATGGGATCCACGGGGTGGGATCATTGGGATGGGATGGGATCCATGGAATGGTATGGGATCCATGAGATTAAATGGTATGGGATCCATGGGATGGGATGGGATTGGTGGAATGGGATGGGATCCATGGAATGGTGTGGGATCCATGGGATGAGATGGTATGGGATCCATGGTATGGGATTGGGATGGGATCCATGGGGTGAGATGGGATGGGATCCATGGAATGGTATGGGATCCATGGGATTAGATGGGATGGGATCCAGGGGATGAGATGGGATCCATGGGATGGGATAGGATGGATGGGATCCATGGAATGGTGTGGGATCCATGGGATGAGGTGGGATGGGATGGGATCAATGGGATGGGATGGGGCTGGCCCAGCTTGTGTTCCCATATTGCTCCACCCTCCCCTTGCTGGATGCTGGAGGTGACAGCTCCCATCTGCCTTGGCTTCTCCTGCCAGGGCCAGGTGTTTACACTGCTTTGGTGGCCCTGCTTGTGCTCCCTGTCCCACTGCTGACCCAGGCTCCTGTGTCTCCCTGGCAGGGTGGATGGTGACACCAAGCACTGCGTGATCTACAAGACGGCGACGGGCTATGGGTTTGCTGAACCCTACAACCTCTACGCCTCCCTCAAGGACCTGGTCTTGCACTACAAGCACACGTCCCTGGTGCAGCACAATGACTCCCTGAATGTCACGCTGGCTCACCCAGTCCTCTCCCAGCCACCAGCCAGATGAGCAGCCCATGCACAACACAACAGCTGCCTTCAGCTTCTCCCCAGGGCGCTGCTTTCTGGCTCTGGACTCTTGCACCCTGTATAGTTGAGTCTCTGTGCTCCTGCTCCTTCAGAGCCTCTGAGATGTCTGTGACCGTTTCTGATGTCCCTCTTGGTCAGTAGCTGAAACCCGTGTTGGCTGATGGGACAGAAAGGCTGGGCTGTAGATTTGCAGTGGCCTCCAGCCTCTAGGAGGTGGGATCCAGTTGTGATTGAATTGCTGGGGGTGAGCACAGCCCCCTCCCCTTCCCTGACAAGCAGGTCAGATCCCCTTTTTGCTGGCAGGTCGCCCCGCTACGCATCACTGTAGAGCTTTGGTTCTTGATTCCTCGGTGCTGGGACCGAGGGGTTCCCTGCATGGACACCCGAGGAGGCAGAGGAGGAGGAGGCTCCACTGAGTGTGTGCATCCTTCTCTCTCACTTCTCTGAGTGGCCTCGCAGGCTGTGATGGTGTCTGGTACGAGGGGTGCTGCTCTTGCATGCAGAGACACATTTAGGAAGGAGAAACCTCATCCTCAGTGGGGCTCCCTGGCTGAGATCTTCGCTCCGTGCTGTGCCCCACCTGGCCACCATTCCCTCTTGTCATAACCACCTCTGGAGTGTTGCTGCCTGGGCTGGGAGGATCTGCTTGGCCACGAATCTCCCACCTTAGCTGTGCCAACGAAGCTGTGAAACCCGTGTTGGTACCCGTGTTGGTACCCGTGTTTTCCTGGCAGGATCTGTGGCATGCACAGCTCGTTGTTTCCAGCCGGTCTCGGTGACTCTCTGCACACGTAACCCATTGAAGCTGACTGTAGCTCTGTAAATATGGTTCTTTTTGTGACCAGCTGCTCCCCTGGTGCTGGTGTTTGCTGAGCCCCCAGTGCCACCCCCAGCGTGGGCAGCAGCTGCCAGGCTGGCACAGCCCCGGGCCCTGCAGCTGAAGCAGGAGAGGGCTGCAGTCCAACGCACACTACAAGCCCTACCTGCAATGAAGGACCTCTGTGCTGCAGGAGGACACATCTGTGGGGCCCAGGGCATGCTGAAATGTATCTGCATGATGGTGAACTATGTATGCAAAGCACTTAAATCATGGGTACTGTATGGGGCCGGGGCAGGGCTGCCCAGCACAGCTGGCTGCTGCAGGCAGGGCGCTGTGTCTGAGCTCAGAGGGCCCCAGGGCAGCCCAGGTGGGTCTGGAAGAGCTTTAAAAGCTGAGCTGAGAGTTGAAGCCATGGTGGCATTTGCTTTCCTGGGTTATCTCAGCTGCCTGGCTGGAGGAGAGCATTCTTGATCCTCTTGATTTGCCAGAGTGGCTCCTTCCCTCTCTGGGCTCCTCCTTGGGACAGGCAGGTGGATGCTGTGGAGTTTGGCACTTCTGTTTCCCGTTGCAGCTTGGGTTCTGCTGGATCCATGGGGTGCTCTGTGCTCATGCTGTGCCTGCATCCTGTCCTTGATGTGCCACCTGCACTGTCCCTCCCTCCCTGGCCAGCTTTGCTGCTTGCCTTGCTCTGGGCTTGTCCCCAGATCCTTCTGGAGCTGGGGCTGCTGGAGCAAACATCCCATTCCTGTTGCTTGTGGCAGCTCTTCTCTGCTCAGCTGTACAGCCCCATTCTGTGTTCTGCATGTTCTCTCCAGGCCCTGGGCCCTGGTTTTGGGGTCTGGTTTGTCAGTGTTTGGTGCTCAGGTGCAGGCAGTGGGTCAGGAGAGCTGTGGTTGGCTTCGGGGATCACTTGGGAAAAGCTGCCAGGGATGAGTAAGGGAATAATTTGGACTTGGGCACGTGAGAGATGAGGGCACGTGGGCCTGGGGCAGGGAGGCTCCGTCCTCACAGCTCTATCCAGAGTTCTCCTGGGGCCTGTGGAGTGACCAGAGGGCTGCACCAACACTCTAAAGTGTTGACAGTGTTCCCCACCTTTTCAGCCTGGGGACTCTGCTGGTCCTGTGCTTGTCCCTGCACTTCCAGCACATCCCCAGATCCCAGGACAGGCTGCAGGCAGATGGGATCCTCAGCCCCTCATCCCATGGGCTCCACGTTCCACCACCACCCCTAAACGTGAGCTTGGGGCCACTCCTGCCTGGGGGATTGCTCCCTGCTCATGCCAGGACCTGCTGAGCATCTGGAAGAGTCTCAGCTTGAAGCTGTCACCTGTCAACACTCGCTTGGTGCTCACCTGGCTTTGCTGCCCAGGGAAATTCCAGCTTCACTTTCTCCTTTATGTGTTTTTCTCCTTTTGGCTGAATTTCTGTTGTTCTCCCCCTACTGTCCCTTGCTGCTGTCCAGCCACAGCCCAAGGGGGGTCACAGTCACTCCTCCTGCAGCACTGCCTTCCTTCCCTGCCTGCTGGCAGCCTGTCCTTGACAGGGCACTGCTCACAGCGTCCTGTGTACGACGAGGAGGAAGATGCCCTTCCCCAGGGCTGCCTTTCCCTGACGGTGCTTCACCCAGCTCCTTCAACAGCAGCTTCCCCCTGCTCTCCCCGAGCTGGGCTCCCCCGGCATTAAAAGCTCCTTGTGGTTTGTCCTTTTTGCTGCTTTGGCTCGTTCTGAACCCGGCCGTGTTTTGAGGCTGTGCTTTGCTGCTTGTGACGCCCGCGTCCCCCAGCCGAGCCGCACACCCACATCCCGTGGGTGCCACATGGCTGTCCCTGCTCCCCAGGACACAGTTTGGGGCTTGTCCTTCCGTGTCCCTGCTCTGGGGGGGCTCCCCCGTGTAACCCCCAAGGTGCCAGTGGAGGCTTTGTGCTCGGAGAGGACGTGGTGGCTGCGTGAGGTTTTAGTTTCTAGGTATATGCAATAAAGAATAACCTGCCCCCCCGAGCTGTCCGTTACCAGCAGTAGTGCTCTCTGCTCTTTCTGTTGATGTTTACTAATGTAAACCCAGTATTTGTTACTGTAAGAGGAATTTTTTTTGTACGGTACTTCGAAAAAACCCACGAAAAACAACCAAAAAAAGAAAAAAAAAAAGGAAAGAAATAAACAAAATAAACAGAGTTAATGAAGCAGGCTGCTGGATTGCTGTGGGAGGTTGTGCGGGGGCAGGAGAGCGGTGGGGCCGTGCCCCAGTTTCTGGGCTGGGTGCAGGATGTGACCCATCGCGCCAGGATTGTGCACACCGGCTTTGTAGGGCTGAGAAGGGGCCGGAAACAGCGGCTACAAACGGGGGAACCACGAGGTTCCCGTGATTGAGCTCGGGATGTCTCGGACTGCAGCCCCGTCCCGCACCCACCGGGGCTGTACCGACACCCAGCCCCGTTTGCTGCTGGGGGAGCTCCACGCGTGGCTGCTCGGGCCGGCTTTCACTGCCAGAACCCGCGGGGAACCGAGTCCCATACTCGGGGGCAGCGGGGACCGATCCCAGCCCGGGGACAGCGGGGACCGAGCCCCAGCTTGGGGACAGCGGGGACCGAGCCCAGCCCGGGGGCAGCAGGGACCGAGCCCAGCCCGGGGGCAGCGGGGACCGAGCCCAGCCCGCCCGGGGCAGCGGGAGCGGCGGCGGCGGAGCCCACGTGGGGCGGCGGCGTCACGGGAGGCGGCGGCCGGGGCGGCAGGAAGGGCAGGCAGGGCCGGAGGGCGGGCACTGCCCGGCTTTAAAAGTCCCCGCTGGGACGGGCTCGTTTCCGCGTCACCCCGGCGTCCCGATGGCCCCCGCGGTGGCGCTGCCTGTGCTGCTGGCCCTGGTGGCCCTGGTGGCGCCGGGGCTCGGCGCGGCCCCCGGCTGTGATCACCCTGCCCACCGCTGGTGCAGCTCCCGGGACACCGCTGTCGCCTGCCAGGTCAGAGCTGCTGCTGCTGGGGCTGGGGACAAGGGCAGGGTCACCGGGACGCGGGGTCACTCCCGCCTGCCCGGGAACGCGGGGACAGGGTTGGGGCAGCGATGCCCGGAGCGAGTGCCAGCTGCGAGTGTCGGTCAGGCTGTCACATCCACGGGGATGCTCAGAGCCACACGGGCACCACGGCATTCCCCAGATCCCCGGCGAACGGCTGTGGTCCAGCAGAACCCTGCCAGCATCCCCTCCCCAGCTGCCCCTGACACTTCTGCTTTTTAAGCCTAAAACCGCTTTTTGGCTTATTCTGCCCCAAACAGCCGGGTGCTGACAGCGCCCTGTGAGCCCCACGGGGCTGCAGCTTCCCCCTGGCACTGGGTGCTGGGCCATCCCCCCACCCAGGCACATCCTGCTCTAAATTTGTTTTCCCCTGAAATGTTTTGGGGAAGTTCTGGTGGAAAGCCCCGAAAGCTCTCAGCCACTCTCACTTCCCTCCAGCCCTGCGCGCCCTCATCTCCCCCTTCCTCCCTGCATCCCGGAGCTTCACCCCATCCCTACAGACACTAGAACGGGGGTGCAGCACCCATACCCCCCCGAGCACCCCGAAACCCTCCCGTGTGCAGGTGCAGAGCCGCTGCCGGAGCCTCCCGCGCCCCGCGGCCGCGCCCGTGGAGCTGAGCCTGTACTACGAGAGCCTGTGCCCAGCCTGCCGCGAGTTCCTGGTGCTGAAACTCTTCCCCACCTGGCTGCTGCTGCCCGAGGAGATGCTAAACATCACCCTGGTGCCCTATGGCAATGCCCAGGTAGGAGCCTGTGATGGTGTTCACAGGGGTTTTCAGATGAAGGAAGAGACGAGGATGCTGGCTCCGTGCTTCAGAAGGCTTGATTTACTACTTTATGATATATATATTACATTAAAGCTATACTAAAAGAATAGAAGAAAAGTTCTCATCAGAAGGCTAGGCTAAGAATAGAAAAGAAAGAATAACAAAGGTTTGTGGCTCGGACCGAGAGAGAGCCAGCTCTGCCGTGATTGGCCATTAATTCCAAACATCTACACGAGACCAATCACAGATGCACCTGTTGCATTCCACAGCAGCAGATAATCAATGTTTACATTTTGTTTCTGAGGCTTCTCAGAAGGAAAAAGCCCTAAGGAAAGGATTTTTAATGAAAAGATGTCTGTGACAGGAGCCGGTGCTCTCCCTGGTGGTGCCGGCCCCACTCAGCCCCTCTTGGTCCCACAGGAGAGGAACGTCAGCGGCAAGTTGGATTTCCAGTGCCAGCACGGCCCTGAGGAATGCCTGGGCAACATGATGGAGGTGACGCTGCCCGTTCCCACGGGGCTGGCATGGAGGGGTCCAGTGTCCCCTCATCGCCCGCCCTGTCCCCCCAGGCCTGTCTGATGCACGAGGCCAAGAACTTCAGCACCTACTTCCCCGTCATCTTCTGCCTGGAGTCGGGCAGCTCCGTCACCAAGAACCTGGAGGCTGTATGTCCCCTCCCCGCCCCTCACTGCCTCTCCTGGGGGATGTCCCTGTCCCCCTGAGTGTCCCCTGTGCCCGCAGTGCCTGCAGATCTATGCCCCCGAGGTGGACAGCGGCCGCATCAGCGCCTGCGTGCAGGGGGACACAGGGGTGGCCCTGATGCACCACAACGCCCAGCTGACCGAGGCTCTGGATCCTCCACACCAGTACGTGCCCTGGATCACCATCAACGGGGTAAGGCAGGGGGGCACGGGGTGCCAGGGGGGCTGGGACACCCTGGGGCTGTAACCATGGCTGTTCACCCTCTGAATACAGCACTAAAATCTGACCAGACTGACAGCAAGCCCCCAATATTCACCATCCCCTCATCCACCCATAACCCCAACACACCCCCATGACAAGCCCCACCACCACAACCAGCCCTATCCCAGTTCCCCATTCCCAACCAGCAGGTTTAGGATGGAATCTTTCCCCTGAGCACTTGTGACAAGCAAATCTCTCTGGAATTTCCCAGACCTGCTTGCCCCAGCAAGAAGCCATTCCCAGCTGGGGTCTGGGGGGTGAAATTCACCACAAGGACAAGGAATTCCTAATCCAGAGAATTTTCCTCCCTACCTGTAGAACAACTCCTCAGTGCCAGGGCCCTGGCTGGGTGACGGGCACCAGAACCTAAACCTGCCATAACCAACAACACCCCAACTACCCCAAGCCTCTGGATAAGGATCCGCCACCAGTGACACTGAATAAACAAACACCACCAACATCCCCACTAAATAAACCATAAGCACCAAAGAGACAAAAGAGACCCCCAAATTTACCAGTCAACCACACCCTGCAACCGCTGCTACAACCAGCCCCAGCACCCCATAGTAAGGAGAGGGGTTAGATACAACTGCCAACCCCCTTAGAACAAAACACAGCCCTAAAAACAAAACAAATTCTGTCATAAATTCCTACTCGGCCTCTCTCTGAGATTTATGGCCTGAAAAGCCATTGTTACAGCCCCAGTCCCAGCCCCATAAATCTGGGACCCAGCTTTATGGCCTGAAAAGGCCCCTGACCAGCCCCTGTACCCCCACAGAAGCACACGGACGAGCTGCAGGCACAGGCCGAGGCCTCGCTGCTGGCGCTGGTTTGTCACCTCTACCAGGTGGGACAGGGCTCTGTGGGGACAGCAGGGCTTGGGGACACGTCCCCATCCCTGCTGGGGCTCTCATGGCTGCTCTCTGGCAGGGGGAGAAGCCTGAGGCCTGCGGGGGCTCCAAGGCCCCGAAGATCCGGCCTGGCTGCAGGCGCTGAGGGAGCGCTGAGGGAGAGGCCAATAAAAAGGATTTTTTATGGAAAAGCAGCAGGATCTGAATGCTGTGCTGGGGGAGCAGGGAGGGGGTGGTTGTGCCCTGGCACAGTGGGAAGGGAGAGGGGCTGGGCTCTGGGATTGCCCTCCAGACCTGGGAATTACCTGCTCCAGAAGGTGACAAAGAAACCCCTTGAGGATTCCCATGGAACTCTGCTGAGCACCAGAACATTTCCTCTCTCCAAGTCTTGGGGAGCAGCTCCAGTGTCCATCTCTCTCCTCACACTGACAGCATTAAACTCAATAGTTTCAGAGCACTGGGGCCAAGACCATTCCAGTTCCCACCAGTTCCCCATTCCCAACCAGCAGGTTTGGGATGGAATCTTTTCCCTGACAAACAAATCTCTCTGGAATTTCCCAGACCAGACCTGCTTGCCCCAGCAAGAAGCCATTCCCAGCTGAAGTTTGGGGGGTGAAATTCACCACAAGGACAAGGGATTCCTAATCCAGAGAATTCTCCTCCCTACCTGCAGAACAACTCCTCAGTGCCAGGGCCCTGCCTGGGTGATGGGCACCAGAACCCAAACCTGCTTTGTTTTCCATCCCCCTCATCCTCAGCCAGAGGCTCCTGACTGCAGGGGCTGCTCAAAGCTCTCCTCACACGAGGTGTGAGACCCATCCCAGCTCTGGGCATAGCCCAAGGGCACTTGCACACCCTGAGAGTCACCTGCAGCCTCCCCTAAACCCTTTCCCAGAGGAGCTGGGGAGGCGGTGGGAGCAGGAGGGACACAAGAAACCCCCATATTCCATCCTGAGAGATGCCAGAGAGCCTTGAACAGCCAAGAGCAAGGAAAAACCATGGCCCTGCCACCACAGCATCATTCTTGTCTCAGGGTCAGCCAACCTGGGCACCCCTCAGTGTCCCCACCACCCCAAGGACAGCAAGGGAGGGAGCTGCAGGCAGGGACCCTCCTTCCATTGTCTGGCTGAACCTCAGGCAGCAGCAAGGCCTGGAAACATAAGGGGGGAAAAAAACCAAAAAAAAAAACCCAAACAAAAACAAGCAACTAAACCAAAACAAAACCCCCCCCAAAATCCAACAAAAAACAAAACAAAACCCCCCCAAAACCAACAAAAAAACACCTCAAAAAAATCACACCATCAACCAGAGAGTGCCTGGAAACTTCATCTCTCTTTATTGTCCATTTCTCATCCAAAACCTGGACCCCAAACCCAGCTCTGGGCCCTGAGCAAGCACAGTCTCACTGGCATGAGCACAGCACAGCTTCTGCTGCTGCTCTGCCTCGAGCATCGCCCGTGCCCCAAAACTTCTGTGCCCTGGCTCAGCTGCTCTGCCACTGCCCACAGCTCGCAGGACCATAGGAAAGCCTTCCTCTCGAGAGAAGAAGGGGAAGAAGAGACAGTGAGAACCCCCAGCCCTGGACTGAAGGATTCTCAGCGCCGCAGGACGAGCTCTTCTCTCCCGAAGCTCTTGGGGCTGCTGGGCAAGGGCAGGACCCCATCCCACAGGCTGAGGGGCTCAGACACCCCCTGGGCATCACTGAGGGAACCTTTGGGACAGAGCCCGCTGCTCCAGGGTGTCCAGGACCCCGCTGCACCCCCGGGGCAGCTCTCAGTGCCCACCCCGAGCTCAGGGAGGAACGAGCCGGGGAAGCTTCTGGAATCTCCCGGTGTGAAATCACCACCAGGCCACGCCGGTGCCAGCAGCTCCTGGTCCAGGAGGAAGGACAGCGACCCTGCAGCATCACCGGGCTGGGGAGCGCTGCAGGGCAGGGAGCCCTCCCTGGGGCTGCGGGGGATGCTCAGAGCCGGTGGTGGCACCTTCCAAGCCGCTCTCTCCTCGCTGGATTTCTTCTTGCCTCCCTTGCCGCACAGCCGCACCACCCTGATGCCGCCGTGCCAGGCGCGCTGCCCGAGGCTGTCGGCGGCGCTGCGGGCGCTCTCCAGGCTCTCGTACTCCACCAGGGCACAGCAGCGGCTCAGCAGCTCCGGGAACCTTGCTGAGTACCTGTGTTAGCGTGCAGAAACACATAATCACGGAGGGACTATATGCGGTGCTTTTTATTAAGAGCTCTGGGTGCCAGGGGTTCATTCAACCCAATCTGACTCTGACCATACATCCGAAATGATAATGTTTTTATACTCTATCGTTATATAATTTCCATGTTAATTATTTAACTTATATTGTTCTATTGCATACATAGATTTAGCCCCCCTCTGAATTTCCAACATAGCTTCCCATTATTCTTCTTATGGTTATATAAGAATTATATTTAATTACTAAACAATCCTCACATCTAACAATTATATAATTTATCATACTGCTTACACAGGTGCAGTTGATCTGGGAAAACACAAAGCTTAACATTTCAGACTCCATCTTTAACTTTTTCCAGGGCCCCACCATCACCTGCGCACGTCCGAGGGCAGCTTGCGGCCCGGCCGCAGCAGGCGGATGGAGGCGATGGCTCCGAAGGGGCTGAACATCCTGGTGATGGTGTCCAGGAAGGTTTTCTGCAGGGGCAGGTCCTGCTCCCGCGGCTGCAGCTCCCAGACCAGCAGCAGCTTGCTCGGGGGGACGCTCAGCAGGTGCTCGGGGATGGGGAGGCGCCGCCGCACTTTGGTGCCCTCCTTGTTCACCTCCAGCAGCGCCGAGAACTTGAGGGCGTAGAGGGTGAGGCGCCAGTCCCGGGTCAAGTATTTCACCTGGGTACAGAGGGGGTGGAATGCCCATCACCCTGCATCCCCCACAGGGGCAGGGAGCACCCTAAACCCCCTCCAGGCAGGCTGGGACCCCAATGTCACAATGTCCCCCTACTTCTGACAGCCCCAGCATCCCCCAGGCTCTGGCAAGGAGCCACAGCTTCCCCCTAAGCCACACCAGCACCTCCCTGGGGTTTTTTTGGTGAAGGGATGATCACTTCCAAAGAGTGAAGAGGTGAATCCAACCCTGGGGATGATTTCAGGAGCTTTCCCTGCTCCCCTGGGCACAGAGGGGGTGGAATCCCCATCACTCTGCATCCCCCACAGGGGCAGGGAGCACCCTAAACCCCCTCCAGACAGGCTGTGACCCCACACAGTATTCCCCAGAGCAATATTCTGTGTGAGCAGAACAGCAGAGAGACATCAGGGGACTCAGGGGTCATTGACATCTATCCTCACAGTTTTCCTGCCACGATGAATGCAGGATTTAATACATTTCTTCAGCAAGCAACCTACTCAGAAACACTCCTGTTGTTCCCAGAATGGCAATGTAGTCTAACGTGTGTTAGCAAGATCTCATAAGACCTAAGTCAATATCAAAGTGAAGGGTCACAGTGTGAATGTTGTTGTGGGAAAAAGCTTCATCTTCAGGTTTGAACATTGCTTGGTTAGGCATAAAAGTACATATTTACCTCATAGAAAGTGAATAATTTCTAATAGTTGTTAATAGTGCTGAGGTGGTCAGAAATTTTAGGAAAAAGAAAAAGGTCTCTCCAAAGGAAAGCTCTCAGCTGCGTGGGTAAGTAGGAGTTGAGACTCACTTGTCAGTTGGGTAAAAACAACACTTGCCCTGGGCACGGGGAACAGCCCCAGCCCGTGCCCACCAGCTTTGCCCAGAGGGCAGGGAACATCCTGCACTTCTGTGTGAGCAGCTCTGGGATCTGCAGACAGCCCCGGTGTCCCCCAGGCTCTGGCAAGGAGCCACAACTTCCCCCTAAGCCACACCAGCAGCACCTCCCTGGATTTCTTTTGGTTAAGGAGTGATCACTTCCAAAGCAGTGCATGGGAAGTGGGAAGAAGAGGAGAATCCAATCCTGAGAGTGATTTGAGGAGCTTTCCCTACTCCCCTGAGCACAGAGCGGGTGGAATCCCCATCACCCTGCATCCCCCACAGGGGCAGGGAGCACCCTAAACCCCCCTCCAGGCAGGCTGGGACCCCATACAATATCCCCCAGAGCACCCTAAACCCCCTCCAGGCAGGCTGGGACCCCATACAATATCCCCCAGAGCACCCTAAACCCCCTCCAGGCAGGCTGGGACCCCAATGTCACAATGTCCCCCTTCTGCTGTCAGCCCCAGTGTCCCCCAGGCTCTGGCAAGGAGCCACAACTTCCCCCTAAGCCACACCACCAGCATTTCCCTGGGTGGTTTTTGTTAAGGGGTGATCACTTCCATGGGTAGAAGAGGTGAAGCCAACCCTGGGGATGATTTCAGGAGCTTTCCCTGCCCCAGGACCCACCCAGAGCTCCCCACACACCCCACAGGAGGCACCCCCAGCACCCACCTTCTTGAAGGACGTCAGCAGTTTGATGCTGACAAAGCCCATCTTGTTCTTCTGCACGTGTTTGAGCAGGAAGGCGTCCCTGGCCAGGTTCTCATCGGACAGGTAGAACTCCACCTGCGCCACGATCCTGCGCAGCAGCTGCGGGTCGGGGCCGGGGCAGGAGCGCTCCAGCAGCGCCACCCCCGGCTCGCAGCGGCTCCTGGCACAGAAATGGGGACACAGGGCTCGGGTGCTGCCCAGGCCACCGTGCTGGGACAGCAGAGACACCCAGGGACAGCCCCAGCCTTGGCCCGGGTATGGGGAACTGCCCAAGCCCGTGCGCTGGGTACAGGGAATAACTCCAGCTCATACCCACCAGCCTTCTCCTGGGTATGGGGAATTACTCCAGCCTTGCCCTGGGCACAGGGAACAGCCCCAGCCTGTGCCCACCAGCCTTTTCCAGGGTCCAGGGAGCCCACCAGCCTTGCCCGGGGTACAAGGAATGACTCCAGCCTGTGCCCACCAGCCTGGGAACAGCCCCAGCCTTGCCCTGGGTACAGGGAATGACTCCAACCCGTGCCCACCATCCTTGCCCTGGGTATGGGGAATTCCTCCAGCCTTGTCCAGGGTACAGGGAGCAGCCCCAACCTTATCCTGGGTACAGGGAACAGCCCCAGCCCATGCCCACCAGCCTTGCCCTGGGTACAGGGAATGACTCCAGCCTTGTCCAGGGTACAGGGAACAGCCCCAGCCTTGCCCACCAACCCTGCCCTGGCTATGGGGAACTGCCCCAGCCTTGTCCTGGGCACAGGGAATGACTCCAGCCTGTGCCCACCAGCCTTGCCCAAGGTCCAGGGAGACCACCAGCTTTGTCCTGGGTACAAGGAATGACTCCAGCTTTGCCCTGGGTATGAGGAACAGCCCAAGCCTTGTCCTGGATATGGGGAATGACTCCAGCCCATGCCCACCAGCCTTGTCCTGGGTATGGGGAGTTACTCCAGCCTTGCCCTGGGTACAGGGAACAGCCCCAACCTGTGCCCATCAGCCTTTCCCAGGGTCCAGGGAACCCACCAGGCTTGCCCTGGGTACAGGGAATGACTCCAGCCTCGCTCTGGGCATGGGGAACAGCCCCAGCTGCTTCTGGAATGTTCTACCCCTCTGATTTCCCCAGGCTTGGGTATGGGGAACAGTCCCAGCCTGTGCCCACCAGCTTTGTCCAGCATACAGGGAGCCCACCAGCCTTGCCCTAGGTACAGGGAGCAGCCCCAACTATGCCCACCAGCCTTGCCCTAGGCACAGGGAATGACCCCAGTCTTGCCCAGGGTACAGGGAACAGCCCCAGCCTTGCCCTGGGCACGGGGAACGACTCCAGCCCGTGCCCACCAGCCTTGTCCTTGTACAATGGACAGCCCCAGCCTTGCCCAGGGTACAGGGAACTGCCCCAGCCTGTGCCCACCAACCTTGATCTGGGTCCAGGGAACAGCCCCAGCCTTGCCCAGAGTACAGGGAATGACTCCAGCCTTGCCCTGGGTATGGGGAACTGCCCCAGCCCATGCCCACCAGCCTTACACTGGGTGTTTACCAGCCTAGGAACAGCCCCAGCCTTGCACTGGGCACAGGGAATGGCCCCTGCCTTACCCACCAGCCTTGCCCTGGGTATGGAGAACCGCCCCAGCCCGTGTCCACCAGCTTTGCCCAGGGTCCAGAGAGCCCACCAGCCTTGTCTTGGGTATGGGGAACAGCCTCAACCTTATCCTGGGTACAGGGAACAGCCCCAGCCCATGCCCTGGGCATAGGGAGTAACTCCAGCCCATGCCCACCAGCCTTGCCCAGGGTACAAGGAACAGCCCCAGCCTTGCTCTGGGCACATGGAACAGCCCCAACCTGCACCCTGGGCACAGGGAATAATTCCAGCCTATGCCCACCAACCTTGTCTTAGACACAAGGAACAGCCCCAGCCCAGCCCCAGGAGCCTCCCAGGCTGTACCAAACTCACCCCAGCCGTGTCCCTTGTCCCACCCAGGCCAGGCCCAGCCCTGCCCGTACCTGGTGCCGCTCTCCACGGGCTCCTCGTGGCCGAGCAGGGCGAGGGAGCAGCTCCAGGGGGCACAGAGGGGCCGAGCCAGGGGGGAATTCCTTGGTGCAGGCACCGGGGGGCTGCAGCTGGGCTGGGAACCGAGCCCCAGGGCCGCTCCAGGGCCACGGGACAACATTGTCCCTTCACCTGGGGTGGGACACACAAGAGGGACAATGCTGGGACAGCCCTGCCAGCCCAGGCAGGGGGTGGGTGATGGTTGTGCGTCCTTACCTGCTTGCTAGCAATGGGAGGAAATTCTAACCTCTAGCAGAACATCCCAAACACCCCGAGGCAGCAACTTCCAAATACCCCAAAAGCTCCCAAAAAAAGGCAAAAAAAAAAAAAAAAAAAAAAAAAAGAAAAAAAAGAAAAAAAAAAAAAGAAAAAAAAGGGGGGAAAAAAAGGGGAAGAGAGAGAGAAAGCCCCTGGGGTGAGGAGGGTGTGGGTTTATAAACACAGCCTGGAGGAGCTGCAGGGGTGGCTGTGGACCTGCCCCCACACTGCTGCTCCAGGTGAAACCTGTTTGTGGTTAAAGGGCCCCAGCTGAGCCCTGGGATCAGCCAGGCTCCTCCTGCCTCAGCTGCAGGGCCAGGCAGGGCTGGGCCAGCAGAACCTGTCCCCCAGGTAGCCAGGGGGGCAGAGAACTGCAGCACGAGGCCTCTGTCTGTGCCTCAGTTTCCCTGCCTTGTGCAGGGACAGTGACAGCCACAGGGAGGGGAGGGAAGCCTCTGTCCAGGGAATCCTTTGGGCTCCCAATCAATCCTTTGGGCTCCCAGTCAATCCTTTGGGTTCCCAGTCAATCCTTTGGGCCCCCAATCAATCCTCTGGGCTCCCAATCAATCCTCTGGGCTCCCAATCAATCCTTTGGGCTCTCAGCGCTGCCAGGGCAGCAGGGAAAGGCAGAAACATCCTGCAGGATGAAACCTCCTGCAGAAACACCCCCAGGCCAGTGAGGGATGGAGCAGGGATGGAGCCCAGGGCAGGGCAGGGGCAGGAGGGGAAGGGTCTGGAATGAAACATCCCCATGGCCTGAGCCCTGTGCTGGGCAGCAGGGGAAGGTGAGGGTGGTGACACTGGGTGGGGACAATGCCAGGGCTGGGGACAATGCCAGGGCTGGGGTTTCTGTGGAGCTCAGTGCAAACTGGAATTGCTGATGCTGGGAGCCCCCCTGAGCCTCTCCTGGTGTCCATCAGGGCCTTGGCTGATGTTCCTGTGCCCACATGGACAGGCCAAGGGCTGCACTGGGAAGGGAAGGTGCTGTTGCAGAGGAAACGATGGGAGAAGCTGCAGGCAAACAACAGGAGGTGGCTCTGGTTCCTGTTTTCAAATCCCTATTTTTGTGTTGGTTCGTTTTGAGAACTTCTCTCATTTCCCTTCTCAAGTCCCTGTCCCAGAGGCTTCCTACACGTGGGGCTGCTCTGTGGCACTGTGGGGACAATCCAGGGGTGCCAGCCCATGGCCCTGAAGCCATCCCAGCCAAGGGGACAAACAAGGGGAGAATCCAGGGCTCATCCCAGCCTCACATCTCAGCAGCCATGCACAGACTGGAGCTCTCCAGGATGTCCTGGTTGCCCCAGAGCAGCAGTACCCTCAGGCTGGTGGCACTGCAGTGTCCCCTGACCCTTGGGCTATGCCACCCTGCCCAGCTGTGCAGGTAATGCCATGATAAAGAAATTATCAATGCTGGAGCTTATGGGGATCTGGAGAAGTTTGGTTGCTGAAAGCAACTTTTGGACCATTTTTGCTTAGTTCTGATGGACTTTGCCCTGTCAGGAACCCAAAGTCAGGGCTGGCAGTCACAGGTGGTGCAGAGAAGGGGGGAGATCCTTTCCCTCCCTCCTCCAAAGCCCAAATGATGCTCAACCACCCAAAGCTCCAGGGAAGATGCTCCAGGAGTTCTTTCCTTGTTCCAGGCACTCCAGGCTGTCCTGGCTGTCCCAGAGCAGCAGCACCCCCAGGCTGGTGGCCCTGCAGTGTCCCCTGGGCTCTGCCACCCTGCCCAGCTCCAGGGTTGCCCCTCTGGGATGAGCCACAGGGACTGGCAATGCCCAGCTGCTTCTGGAACGTTCTACCCCTCTGATTTGGTGGCACCTCCCCTTCTCCTGCCCCCTCCTGGTGCTCTCTGCTGCTTGGGGAGAGGTGGAACACAAAATCCTGGGATGCTGGTGCAGAAATCCCTGCAGGATTTGCCCATCTGGGAGGGATGGGGGTGGAGGTGCTGACAGGAGGATTTTGAGCTGTGTTTGCTTTGTGGTTAAAGGCAGATTTTCCTCAGGGTCAGGAGGTGCTGCCCAGCTCCTCTGGGGGAAATAATCTGAGATTGCCAAAGGAAGAGGCTCTGTCTGGTGCAGAACATCCCAAACCCCCCAAGACTGGGCTCATCCAGAGGGGGAGTGAAGCAAAGGCCCCCAGAGGCTGAGACTGAACCTTCCTGACCCAGCTTTTGTCACATCCTCACTGCCCCCATCCTCTCAATTAGTCTGGAAGCTTAATTAGAAAATCCTCCTGTGGCCCTGTGTCTGATCCTCTCCTCCCCTTGTCACAGACATCTTTTATGGAAAATCCTTTTCTTGGGATTTTTCCTCCTGAGAAGCTGAGAGGCCTCAGGAACAAAATGTAAACAATGATTATCTGCTGCTGCGGAATGCAACAGGTGGATCTTTGATCAGCCCATGTTGGATGTTTCTAATTAATGGCCAATCACAGTCAGCTGGCTTGGACTCTCTGTCCCAGACAGAAGCCTTTGTTATCATTCTTTCTTTTTCTATTCTTATCTAGCTTTCTGATGAAATCCTTTCTTTTATTCTTTTAGTACAGTTTTAATATAATATATATCATAAAATAATAAATCAAGCCTTCTGAAACATGGAGTCAGATCCTCATCTCTTCCCTCATCCTCAGACCCCTGTGAACACGGTCACATCCCCTCTGGGTTGTGTGACACAGCAGCTGCTGCCCCAGGGTGAATTTGCCTCCTGCAGCCCCCAGACCCTGCCCTGAGCCGCTTCAATCCCCCTGGGCAGCTCCTGAATCCCCCAGGCTGCTGCAGTGTGACGGTGCTCACAGGGGTTCTTGGATGAGGGAGGAGATGAGGATCTGACTCCATGTTTCAGAAGGCTTGATTTATTATTTTATGATATATATTATATTAAAATTATACTAAAAGAATAGAAGAAAGGATTTCATCAGAAAGCTAGATAAGAATAGAATAGCAAAGAATGATAACAAAGGTTTGTGGCTTGGACTCTCTGTCCGATCCAGCTGACTGTGATTGGCCATTAATTAGAAACAACCACATGAGACCAATCACAGATGCACCTGCTGCATTCCACAGCAGCAGATAATCATTGTTTACATTTTGTTCCTGAGGCCTCTCAGCTTCTCAAGAGGAAAAATCCTAAGGAAAGGATTTTCCATAAAAGATGTGTGTGACACTGCAGCATCGCCTGGCACCTCTCAGGGACCTCAGAAGAAATGGGACCACAACACTTCTTGTGCAGGCCTGAGTGCTGGAAACACATTTATTGCTGTTCAGCTTTAGTGGGGATTCTGTGGAGGGGTCTGGGTGCTGCTGCAGAGCTCCAGAGCATCTCCTCTGCACTCTGGCCTCCCTCAGAGGCAGAGCTGAACTCCAGAGGCCCTCAGAGGCAGCAGGGCAGCTCAGATTGGGTTGCTCAGTTGTTGTTTCAGACTCTTATCTCCTCAGCAGGATTCCAAGTGTGGACTCTGACCTAGGGGGGTTTCATGGTTCTGTACAGCTAAATCTGCCTCTCTCACTTCTCTCCTGCCACTTCCATGTGAGACATTTACAGACAAACACCACCCTGGCATGACAGCATGGGGCAGAGAGAGGATGTGCCGCTGCACACACTCTCATTTCAATGTGTTGTTTCAATGTTTGAAAGTGGCACAGCTGCCTTAGTGCCTCTGGGAATGAGCAAATCAGAGATTTGGGTAGAAGATTCTCTGCGAGGCAATGCACACGAGACCCCTGGAAAAGCTCACACCAAACACTGCAGCACCAGAAACCATAATAATAACAATAATAATAATAAAAGCTATTTATGACACAGCCTTTATTCACAGAGACATTTGCCTCAGGGCTTTGTTTTACAGATTCCCCACCTCCTCTGCCCTGTAGCCCACAGCACCCCAGTGCAGTCCACAGCATCCCAGGGCAATCCATGACCCCACAGGACATGGGAAAGGGGATAAACCCTGCAGAGCTCAGCCCCATGTCAGCACAGACCCCACAGGACATGGGAAAAGGGGATAAATCCTACAGAGCTCCCCCAGGAGCCACGGGAGCCACCCCACAGGAAAAGGGATCCAGAGAGGGAAATGCTGGGGGTCTGTGCCAGCCCCTCCCCACCTGGGATGGGCTGTGCTGGGCCAGGCTGAGCCGTGCTGGCCCCCCTGGAGCAGGGCAATGGGACCAAGGCCCCCCTAAGGCACTGCAGTCACCCCCTCACCCCTGCTCCAGACCCCCCTTTGAGCTCAGAGCAGGACGTGGGGTGGGGATTTCACAAACCCCAGGATGTGGGACCGGATCCTGTGTGCCTGGGCACCGTGGAGGGTGGGGATGGCCATGGGATTGCCATGGGATCATCATGGGATCATCATAGGACTGCCATGGATTGCCATGGGGTCACCATGGGATTGCCATGGGATTGCTATGGGATTGCTATGGGATCTCCATGGGATTGCCAGGAGATTGCCATGGGATCATCATGGAATCATCACGGGATCACCATGGGATTGCTGTGGGATCTCCATGGGATCACCACAAGATTGCCATGGGATTGACATGGGATCACCACGGGATCACCACAGGATTGCCATAGGATCATCATGGGATTGCCATGGGGTCACCATGGGATCACCAAGGGATTGCTATGTGATCTCCATGGGATTGCCAGGAGATTGCCATGGGATCACCACGGGACTGCCATAGGATCACCATGGGATTGCCATGGGATCATCATAGAATCATCATGGGACCGCCGTGGGATCTCTATGGGATCATCACAAGATTGCCATGGGATCATCATGGGATCACCACAGGATTGCCATGGGGTCACCATGGGATCACCATGGAACTGTCATGGGATCATTATGGAATCACCATGGGATCCCCATGGGATCACCATGGGATCATGGGATCATCATGGGATTGCCATGGGTTCACCATGGGATCATCACAGGACTGCCATGGGATGACCACAGGATCACCACAGGATCACCATGGGATTGCCATGTTATCACCATGGGATCACCATAGGATTGCCATGGGATCACCAGGGGATTGCCATGGGCTCATCATGAGATCACCATGGGATTGCTATGGAATCATCCTGGGATCACCATGGGATCACCATGGCATTGCTATGGAATCACCATGGTATCACCGTGGGATTGCCCCAGGCATCACGGCACGTGGGACAATGGGCACGCTCTGGCACCAGCTGCCACTGCCTCGGAGTCCTTTGGTATCTTGAGTTGGCCTGATGGCATCCCAGGAGCATTGGGGTGAAGTGCCAGGCTGGGGAGCCATGGAAGCAGGTGGGAATGCTCATCCCATAGTCCCAGAGCACGCTGTGTCCGTCGGGATGTGCAGCCTGGAGCCTCTCCCGGGGGGACAAGGGACACCAAGTGCCCTGTGCTCCCCGTGCAGAGATTTGGCAAAGCAGAGCCAGGACAGCTGGTCTGGAAAGGCTGCAGGAGAAGGGCCGGGCATTTCTCCTTCTTCTTGGGCACTGATTGGTTCAAGTTTGTATCACAGTGAAGTCTGAGACGTGGGGAAGGAACCCAAAGCACCTTCCCTGACAGAGCCAGGACAGCTCCTCCAGCCAGGCACATCCCACCTGCTGCTGGCCACAGAGAGCAGACTCTGGAGCTTCTCCCTCCCCTCTGGAGGGACACTGGCAGCCAAAACCGCCTCAGCCCATCCTCAAACACGAGTAAACATCAAGAGAAACTAAGAGGCACTATAATAACGCAGATCCGGGGGGCGCCGGGCTTGGCACGCCCCGCCTGGCTCCGGATGGATGGCTCGGTGCAGCCCAGGTGTCAGATGTCCTGCAGGGTCCAGCCCAGGGCTCAGATGTCCTGCAGGGAGTGGCCGGGCTCGCTGCGCTCCCGTTTCACCAGAGGCTCCCCCGGGTCCCCCTCCGTGCCCAGCTCGATGTCATCTGCAAAGGACAGGGCTCAGAGCAGGGCACGGGGCCACCAGAGCTGCTTTCCAGCAGAGCAGGCTGCAAGAGGCAGCTCGAGGGTCCCCAAGCCTCCCAAACCATCCCAACCCTCCCAAACCATCCCATCCTCCAACCCTCCCAAACCATCCCAAACCATCCCACTCCCAAACCAACCCAAACCTCCAACCCTCCCAAACCATCCCAACCCCAACCATCCCAAACCAACCCAAACCTCCAACCCTCCCAAACCATCCCAACCCTCCAACCCTCCCAAACCATCCCAAACCATCCCACCCTCCAACCCTCCCAAACCATCCCAACCCCAACCATCCCAAACCATCCCAACCATCTCAAACCATCCCATGTCTCCAACCTGCCCAAACCATCCCACTTCCCAATCCTCCCAAACCATCCCAACCCTCCAACCCTCCCAAACTATCCCACCCTCCAACTCTCCCAAACCATCACTCCCCAGCAGGGAGGGCAGGTACCTTTGTCCAGCAGTGTCGGGGACAGGGATGTGAGGTCACCAAACTGAAAGAAAAAGGAGTTTTGGGGTCAGTGAGGCTCTGGGGAGCTGAGGTGTCAGAGAATTTCAAGCACCCAGGGGAGACTGTGAGCATTGGTGGTGGAGAGCAGAAATGAAAACCAACCACAGCTTTTGGGGGTAAAGCCTTTTGCTGCCATTTAAACCTCTGGGCAAACACCACACACAACAATCCAGGGCAGGGTTTAGCTCTGGAATTAAGGGAGAATGAAAGAATGGAAATTTTTGCATCTCCCAGGTGACGGTCAAATGCTGCTGCAGGTAAAAGTGGTGCCTTTTCTCCAGCCCTTTCCACCTCTCAGGCATTTCCCCCCCCTGCAAAGCCTTTGCAGTGATGTCTGAGAGAGTCTGGCCATCCAGGATGTGGAACCAGAGAGCCCCTTGGCTCTGGAGTTGTGGTGTCCCTCTCAATGACCAGGTCTGAGACACCAAATTGCTGCAACAACAATTTTGGAAAGTCATGGAAAGCTGGACAGGAGCTGAGGAGAGTGGGAATTGCAAAATCCAGTGGGAGTGGGAGGACACCTCATCCTTCTTTGCTGGGAAGAATCAGCCTCCTCCTGGAGAGCAGGAATATTGCAAGGGTTGAATGGAGGAAAAGCCTGAGGGATGGGAGCCAGACTCTGCCTTTCCTGTTCCTTTAATACCAATGAAGGAGGAGGTTTTGCAGGGAACAGTGGGAACTCAGCACTGCAGGGAACAGTGGGAACTCAGCACTGCAGCTGGAGCAGTGTGGGAGGGCAGGGAAGGCAGAACCAACAGGATTTGGTGGCTTTGGTTTGCCTGGATCCCTCCATGAGCTCTGTGGAAGCTTCAAGGAGCCAATGAGATCAGTTTTGGGCATGTGAGCTCAGTTCTAAACTCACAGTAGTTTCAGTATTGCTGTCACAGGTTCAGCTGGGGCTTTTAACTCTGTATTTCAGAGGGAAAAACTGGATGTGGCCTCAGCTAGGCAGGACAGGACTTGCCTGCAAGCCAGGCACCAGAATTACTGTGAACAAAAAAACCCCCAAACCCTCACAAACAGCCCAAACAACCCCATCATCCTCTTCTTCACCTCAAAAATGGAGGGAGTGGCTGACTGTGCATGTGATGCTGGAGCTTGCAGAGGCTTGGAGAAGTTCAGGTGCTGAAAACAACTTTTGGACCATTTTTGCTTAGTTCTGATGGACTTTGCCCTGTCAGGAGTCCCAAAGTCAGGGCTGGCAGTCACAGGTGGTGCAGAGAAGGGGGGAGATCCTTTCCCTCCTTCCTCCCGGCCTCCAAATAATGCTCAACCACCCCAAACCCACCAGCTCAGGGAATATGCTCCAGGAGCTCTTTCCTTCTGCCAAAACAACTCAATAAATAATTTTTGTTGTGAAACAAGCCGGGAGTGCAGCGTGCTTTGTGAACCAGCGGTGTCTTTTGAGGAGCTGCTTCTTTTGGGTTGGTTTGTAGGGAATAAAGGGCTCTCACCTCTCCCATGACAGCAATTGGGGTCTCCCCTGTTGCCTGGGCCACACGGTGCTCCACCAGGTAGAACATGTACTCGTCGTAGAGCAGGCGGATCAGGTGGAAGGAGCCAAAGCTGGCGGCGCTGCGCAGAGTGAGGTCCCGGATCACCATGGAGCTGGGAACGGGCAGGAATCACAAATTTGGGATGAGTTTTACATCTCTGCCATGGCTGATGTGAATTCTGGACCCTGGTGGTTCTGTGGGACCCAACACTCTCTCTGCCTCTGACCCAAAAGTACCAAAACAGTTTCAGAAATTTGGTTTATGGAGCATCCTATCCCCGTCCTGAAGGGACACCAGAAACACAGCTAAGCAAAGTTTAATGGGAGTAAAGAACTTGGCCTTGGCTTTAAAAAATTTAGTTTATGGAGTATCTTATCCCAACTTGGCCTTGGCTTTAAGAAATTTAGTTTTATGGAATATCTGATCCCCATCCTGAAAGGACACCAGAACCACAGTCAAGCAGAGTTTAATAGAAGTGAAGAACTTGGTCTTAGCTTTAAGAAATTTAGTTTATGGAGCATCCTATCCCCATCCTGAAGGGATAGGAGAACCATATTTAAGCAGAGTTTCATGGGAGTAACGAACTTGGCCTTGGCTTTAAGAAATTTGGTTTATGGAATACCTCATCCCATCTTGGCCTTGGCTTTAAGAAATTTGGTTTATGGAATATCTTATCCCTGTCCTGAAAGGACACCAGAACCATATTTAGGCAGAGTTTAATGGGAGTAAACAACTTGGACTTGGCTTTAAGAAATTTAGTTTATGGAGTAGCTTAACCCAACCTGGCCTTGGCTTTAAGAAATTTAGTTTATGGAGTATCCTATCCCCGTCTTGAAAGGTTACCAGAACCATATTGAAGCAGAGTTTAATAGGAGTAAAGATCTTGGCCTTGGCTTTTCAAGGAGTTCTTTACATGCCCCAAGGTTGATGCAGAAATACCCCCAAAATGAGAAAGAAAATGTACCTGTAGAAAGACCACTTCAACAGGAACTGCCTGGCTGCCTTGGGGAAGCTGGGGCTGCCCTCGTGATGCTTCAGCACTTGAGTGACCACATTGTCCAGCCAGCTGGCCCACTGGTCCAGAGAGCTCTGCTGCTGCAGAGTCAGCTTGAAATCCTGCTCCAGCTTCTGCACCATGCCCTCCTCACACTGGCACACCCACGAGGCCTGCTCCTGCTCAGGAGAAAGGGCCCACAGTTACTCATGCCCTGCTCCTGCTCAGGAGAAAGGGCCCACAGTTACTCATGCCCTGCTCCTACTCAGGAGAAAGGGCCCACAGTTACTCATGCCCTGCTCCTGCTCAGGAGAAAGGGTTCACAGTTACTCATGCCCTGCTCCTACTCAGGAGAAAGGGTTCACAGTTACTCATGCCCTGCTCCTGCTTGCCTTATCTCTCTCTTATGACAAAAATCGCTCCTCCCTGGGAGGGGACATCTGCTGATAACAGCTATTGAATGTCACTGCATGGCTGATAAGAACTACAGCATCCCACTGGGAGATGTGAGCCCAGAGGGAGGAGCCAAGCATTCCTGCCTGGATATAATCTGGAGATTCCGGAACACCAGCACAGATTCTCCACTGGATTTCCCAGAGGAACAGCAGCTGCCTCTGCCACTGGATCTTCAGAGGAAGAGACTGCACCTTTCTCCAGGATCCCTGCTCCAGCAGAACCAGCCCTGACACTGCAGGAGGGCTGCAGCCACAATTCCAATGGGACTGCTGCCAACACCCTGACCCACAGGGTGTCAGGTTGGGTTCTGACTCTGTCAGTGTTGTTCTAGTGTATTGCACTGTTTATTTTATCCTTTTATTTCCTTCCCTATTAAGTTATTCCTGCTCCCATTTTTTTTGCCTGAGAGCCCCTTAATTTAAAATTTATAGCAATTCAGAGGGAGCTCTGTCAGTGCTGTTTTGCTTTACTGCATTGTTTATTTTATTGTTTACTACATTACTCTGTCAATGTTGTTTTAGTTTACTGCATTGTCTATTTTATCCTTTTATTTTCTTCCCTATTAAGGAACTGTTATTCCTTCTCGCATATTTTTTCCTGAGAGCCCCTTAATTTAAAATTTATAGCAATTCAGCAATTCGGGGGCGGGGGGGTGGGTTACATTTTCCATTTCAGGGGAGGCTTCTGCCTTCCTTAGCAGACACCTGGCTTTGAAAATGAGGTAGTGAGGAGCAGGGGGTCTGTGGGTACCTGCACGTTGGCGAAGTCCACGCGGTTGAGGTCGCTGAGCATCTGGTTGATCTGGGACGTGTTCTGCAGCACGGCGCGCGCCGCCTGCGCCAGGTGGTTCAGGGACGTGTACCTGCGCAGGGTCTGGGCAAAGGCACTCACCACCCCCACCTGCAACACACCACAGCGGCTGCAGGGGGACACTGACATGTTTGATGGAAACCCTTTAGCTAGGATTTTTCTCCTGAGAAGCTGAGGAGCTATCGCTGGCTGTGGGCTATGTACAAATCACCAACAGGACGGGACTGCTGGGAATGTGCCTTGAGCTGTTTTATTTTCCAGCATCAGTCTCATTCCATGGTTATAACAATGGGAAGATGCCACCAGCTCACATCCCAAGAACTTAATGTTACAACTGACTTTATAAGTTTTTTGACCAATCACACAAAGCAAAAGCACATTGACAGTATTTATATCTGTATAGTATATATTCTATATCGACACTAGTTCTATCCAATCACTATGAGCATGTATGTGATACATTTGGTTAAACAATGCTTGCTTATTTCAAATACAACACCCGCTTGTAAGCCTTAAAACACAATGCACAGAGCTCCATTATTAAGCTTCAAACTTCCTATTATCTTGCTAGATAAACTTTTCTGTAGCTTAGGGAGTTATTCTAGACAAGCGTTACTACACAGTCCGTTGTTCTGTTTGTCTTTGCTTTTCTACATTTTACATAATTTTTCTGCTGACCTATCTCATGGCTACTGCTTGGCTCTAATCACAGTTCTGCTGTCTCTAAGGCCTGCCTTTTGCAGCTTTCCCAAAACCTTCTGAATTTATGGATTCCCACAAGAAGCCTCAGAAAACAAATGCACATAAAAACTATCTGATGGTTGTGGAATGTAGACTGGAGATGGTTTGCCAACAGGTGCATCTTTGATTGGTCTCATGTGGATTGTTTTTAACTAATGGCCAATCACAGTCTAGCTGTGTCTGTCACAAAATTCAATCATTCCTTTCTAGCTTTCTGATGTCTCCTTTCTTCTATTCTTTAGTATAGTTTTACTATATAATTTTCTTATAATATAATATGATATGATATGATATATGATATGATATGATATGATGTGATATGATATAATATAATATAATATAATATAATATAATATAATATAATATATATATTATAAAATAATAAATCAGCCTTCTGAAATATGGAGTCAAGATTCTCATCTCTTTCCTCATCCTGGGGACCTTCAAACACCACCACAGCAAGGCATGCTCTGCTTCCTGCCCAGCCCTGCACCACCAGCACAGACAGTGCTGCAGTCACCAGCATGGAAGGGCTCAAAAAATGTGTGGGCACAGCTTAGGAACACATTTTAGTGGTGGCCTGGGCAGTCCTGGTGTTGTGATTGGACTCAAATAATCTCAAAGGTCATTTCCAACTTAATCCTTGTGCCAGGCACTTGGAAAAACTCAGTCAATCCTTGGGCACAGGTGGTTGTAAAACATGTTGAGGGCACAGTGTGGTTTGTGAACCAATGGTGCCTCCTTAGATGCTGCTCAGTTTGAGTTGGTTTGTAGGGAATGAAGGATTCTGACCTCTCCCATTACATCTCCCTGGTTGCCTGGGCCACACAATGCTCCACCAGGCAGAACAGCAATGGAAGGACCCAGACCTCAATAATTCTATAATTCCATTATTTATTCTCTTTAATCTACCAGGTTTTCACACTCTGGCTCCAGCAGAGATCACCATGGTGGGAAGAGGCAGCAAGAATCCCTGGATTTGGGAGAGCAGGAGCCTTGGGGCAATGCCACTCACTCCTGTGCTCTCCAGGCTTTTCCAGCCTCATTCCAGAGCAGGGATAACAGGGAATGGTCCCGGCCCCAAGGCTGCCAGAGCTCCAGGAGGGTTTGGACACAACTCCTAGGGATGTTCAGGGTGGGATTGTTGGGGTGGCTGTGCAGGGCCAGGGGTTTGTGATGACCCCTGTGTGTCCCTTCCAGCTCAGGATGTTCTGTGGCTCTATAATTTTCTCCCACAAAGCTTTATCTGCAATTTCAGCGTACAGGAACAGCTCCAGGGACAGAGAATCATGAACTTCTGGTACAGAGGAACTTCCCCACCCATCCTCCCACTCCTGGCTGATATTGGTTCACAATCAACCACTGCACCATGCCAGGTGGCCAAACCCCAGCAGGAACTTCTGCAAGGTGCAGACACACCCTGGGCCCATCTCTGCTCACCTTGGTCTGCACGACCTGGGGGGGGAATTCACTCATGGCATTCATCAGCCACCCTTCCAAGCTCTTGGCAAAGTTCCGGATGGCCTGGGTCAGCGTGCCTGCAAAGAAGGCTGCAGAGTCACAAAAGCTGCTCTGGGGCATTTTTGCTACCATTTTCTACCTTAGGACTACTGGGAAAGCCTAGCCTGTGGTCTGGTTAGCTGAGATGTCAACTCAGCATCAGGGAAATCAGCTGGGTTGGTACACCAAAATTATTCTTTGATATTATTACTCAAACTCTTCTTATTATTCTTTTTCATTTTTATTTTTCATTTTTCTTATTCTTATCTTACTCTTATGATAATTGGACTTAATGATCTTAGAGGTTTTTTCCAACCTAAACATTTCTATGTTTTTTTTCATTTTTATTTTCTTTTGTTTTATTCTTATTCTTATTCTTATTCTTATTCTTATCCTTATCTTTATGACAATTGGACTTAATGATCTACAGGTGTTTTCCAACCTAAACATTTCTATGGCTTTTAAATTATTTTTATTTTCTTGCATACTTTTCTTATTCCTGGCCCTTCTGAGCATTTTTCAAGCATTGAAATTCGCTCTTCAGAGACATCCTCATGCCCCAGCCTGTGACAGCCTTCAGAGAATCTAAATCAGAGAGAAAACTCTCAATTCCCCTTTATTAATCTCCCAAAAAGTTGACCCCTAATTTCCAGAGTGCAATCAGAGGATGGTCCTATGCTAACAAAGACCTCAAGAAGCCACATCCCAACGAGCTCCCATATCCAAACTCCTGGCCAAAATCAGGAGATGTGAAAGGCAACACACCAAATTTAAAAGGCAGGAGAATTCCCAGGGGGTACAAAACATCCCCCCAGGGCAATGCTGCAGGAGGAACACTGCTGTTGCCATGATATTTTAGCCAAGACAAACACCTCCAAGAGGGATTTTACAGCGGAAATCTTTATGGGAAGTGAGACCAGGCTCAGGTGGGGCTGTGGGTACTCACTGGGCACTGGCCTGAGCACGTCAGGGATGAGGATCTCCACCAGGGCCTGGTACAGGATGTGGTCACAGCTCCTCATCCACTTGAGGATGGGCTCGTACTTGCACAGGGTGATCAGTTTGTCCTTTGGGAGGGTCCCTTCGGGTTCCTCTTCACTGCAGGAGGAGGAGGAAGGAGACAGAATTAGCAGCAGGTTTGCATTCAGTGTTTTCCCTCTCCCTCTGCATTTCTAACTCCAATTTTCAGCAGAAAAAACCATGTTTGTGTGCCTTGCAACCTCCCTGTCCTTGGGGCCAGAGCTTGGAGCAGTTTTCCCTCAAATCCACACTCCTGGTGTTCCCTTTTTACCTTCACAGCCTCTCAAACCCCCTGTTCATGTGGGAGCTGAGCTCCAGCACTGCCAGCTCAGGCAGCAAAGGCTCAGCTGGATCCTCCCAAACCTTCCCTCCCCTCTGCTCTCACCCTCCTGAGCCACAGCACTGGGGACAAACACTTTGCAGCCACTGTAGGGGCAGATGAGCTGATATTGAGACGTTTTCAAGGTGTTTAACCCCTCCAAATGCTGAACATTCTCAGAAGGCAAGATACTGAATGTTGGATGAAAACAAAATATATTGTCTGTAACTGAATGAGGTCAATCCAGCTTGCATTATTTTCACTTTGTAGCTGTATAAAGGCACAAGATATTTGTTACAAAAAAGCAGAAAGAGCTGAAACCTGAATTCACTGCCAGAGCTGCTCACCCACACATTATGCTGGGAATTGGGAATTTGGAAAGGTCTTTCCCCATGGAAAGGATATTTTTGCCCATCAAAATCATTAAAGCCAAGCCTTGGACATGCTCTAAAGGGGACTTTGAGCCTCAGGCTGAAGAATTTTAGTGGTGAACTCCATGTGGAAAATCCCACATGGAGAAACAGGCCAGGAAACCTGCTGTGGGCCTACTGTGAAACGCATCCATCTTCTGCATCTTCTCATGCTTTCAGTGTGCCACCTCCCCAATATTTGGGGTTTGTATTTATATTTATGTATTAAGAAGGGGAGGGAGTGTGTTATTCACCTCTCTGGGTTAGGGGCAGAGGTGTGAGAGCCCTGCACAAAAGCTGCCTCCAGTTTCCCCTGTGTACCTAGAAACAGCTCCTGGGGTGTTGCAATCTGCCTGGGAGCTGTTCCCTCAAAAAAATGAGATTTTAAACCAAGCAAACACATCTGCAGTGACTCCTTGCAGGAAAATATCCCCTGGGCAACATCTACAGGGCCATATTTACTCATTTTTGAGGGATTTTTCCTTATTACTCAATGTTTTACCATTTTTCTTCTGAATAGAAAACCTTCATCTTTATAACCTCATTAAGAGTGGACAGATTTGTGATAGAAATTTTAAGAATTTTTTCAATTTTCTCTGTTTTCACTCATTTCCATTCCCCTGGCAGCAGCTCCCAATGCATAAAGGATGAGGAAGAGGCACAGCAACGAGCCAGTAAGGAGTGAAAAGATGAAAGCAGCTCTGTTTGCAATGATCTGCCTCAAAACATGAAGCACTGACAGGTCTGGGCAGGCAGGCAAGGCAGAGAGTCAGTCTGGAAATCCCTAAAACCTCAGAGAGCCCCTAAAATCTGAGCAGGGAATCAGAACTGGGGAAAGCAGGAGGTGCAAGGGACATGGATGAGAGGAATTAGACTCAAGTCACCCCAGGGGAGGTTTAGATTGGATATGAGGGGAAATTTCTTCACTGAAAGAGTGGTCAGGCATTGGAAGAGGCTGTGGTGGAGTCACCATCCCTGGAAGAGTCCAAAAAAGGTGGGCACATGGCTGAGTGGTGACTCAAAGAATTCAAAGAATTCACAGAATGACCAGGTTGGAAGAGACCTTAAAGATCATCAAGTGCAACCCAACCCCAACACCTCAAGACTGGTGAGGGCTGATAATTTCTATTGTGGAATCAGACGGAGGGGAATGAGAAGCTGCTTTTGAAAGGAGCTTCTTCTGATGATCTTGGAGGGCTTTTCCAACCTCAGTGACCCCACAATTCTCTAATCAGAGCAGACACTTCCCCAGAGCTCTGAACTTTGCATTACAATATTAAACACTTCCAACTCTCTTTGTCACAGCTCTGCAGGCAGAAAATACTCCCAAATCCTCCAAAGCACTCATTTATGCTGATTTTCTGCTGGTTTATTTTCAGATGCCAGCAGGTGTTTTGGAACAGCAAGTGCACAGCCCTATAGCTTGCTTTTCTTTTTATTTGGTCTGTCAAAATGCAATGACTGAAATCTCAGAGAGGATTTTCTCCCCACAATAAGTTTCATTTGAAGGGCATAGATTTGTACCTGTAAGACCATCTTGGCACTGAAGAAAAATAGGCTTTAGGCTCAAAAAGACTAAAAAAACTTCATTAATGTTAAAAAGAGATTATCGGTAAGAAGTGGGGCAGGGAAGCAGGGGAGTACCTGGAGGGCAGAGCAGTGGGGCCATCACTAGGGGGTGCCTTGGGACTCCAGAAGGATTGCCACAGCTTCTCGATGTAGTGGAACTGGAGGTGCATCACGACATCCAAAGTGGCCTGACAGCAAAGAACACCACGGGATGAGCACTCAGCTCCAGTGCTGCCACCCACAGGAAATAATTTACATGAAAAACAACGGAATTGGCACTGTTGTAGTGATCAACTTAACATAAAACAGTCACACATGGGAAAATATATCAATATTTGAGTTGAAATTGCTGGCAAATGAAGCATTCCCAGCTTTTCCTAAGATCTGGTCACTTGAATGACGTTCCATGCCAGTTAATGAATTAATTACAAATAATCCCCAAAGAATATTGCACACAATCACCTCACAGTGCCTCCTGTAGAGAACCTGCAGAGTTTTCACGTCGTTCAAGGTGAAACCTTCTTGTAAGAGGACATTGCCAAGATCAGGGGCTGGGAACTCAGGAAAGACGTGGGTTACATCTAGAACAGAAATTGGGAGAGATGGGGAGGGTCAGGAAAGCTCAGAGCACAGCTGAGCACAAGGTGCTGCTCTCACTCTTTCATGTTCCAGCTGGGATGAGAGAGGAAAAATGAGATAATTGACTCCTTTCCCTGATTTCTGCTGAAAAAAAGCAAATAACCACAGCCCAGTGGGTTCAGTGGGGAAAGGAAAATGGTTCCTTTCTGTTTGTAATAAAAGAAATAAGAAAACATTTTCCTCATCTACCATCCATTAGAATTTCCCTGAAGCCTGGAAATGTCTCTCTGTACAATGGGGAATAGAATTGGGCAGCAGAGGTGTCAGGAGCTGGGATTTGTGATGGAGACACAGGTCCAGGACCAGCAAATCCAGAGAAGGTCAATATGGATCATCTTCATCCAAATCCCCACTGCAGCCTTTGCAAGGAAGGGAATTGCTTCCCCACTCTGGCCAGGACCTCCAGTCCTCCATGGAATTTAAATAAATCAGATGGATTTAAAAAACACTAAAAATGAGGGACCTAAGAGACCCATGGGCTTGAGGAAAAAACCTTCCTGGGGAGACAGGAGTCGTAGATAAACTCAGCAAGTGTGACACTACAAAAACCTATAGAACACATGCTATATATATAAAATATAGATATCTGAAAAAATAAAATTTATACATATATATATTAAAACATATAAAATATAGAAAATTATATGTAATATATATTATATATACACACACTATAATATATATAATTGATATAACATAAAATTAATATTATATATATTTTTATATATACACACTATAACACATAATTTATATATAACATAAAAATTAATATTATACATATTTTATCTATACACACTATAACACATAATTTATATATAACATTAAAATTAATATAATATATATTTTTATATATACACACTATTATATATATAATTTATATATAACACAAAATTAATATTATGTATATTTTTATATATACACACTATAACACATAAAATTTAAATATAACACAAAAATTATTATTATATATTTTTATTTATACACACTATTATATATATAATTTATATATAACAATAAATTTTTATATCTTTTTTAATATATATATGCATATATACACACTGTAGATTTTTTAGATAAAGCTTTCCCCTTAAAACCCAAATCCCTGATGTGGAATAATTAATAATTGATCACCAAAGGGGTTTCCTCACCTATGAACTGCTGGTGGTGCTGGCACTGAGCAGCCACTGACTGCTCGGGTGTGGTGTGGGGGGTGCTGTTGGATGCACTCTCTGCCATCCCATCCATCTTCTGGGCTGCTCGGTACCTGAATTCCATCAGAATTGGGATGGATTAGGATCCACACAGACAGAAGAAAACACCTCTGTGTTATTTACAGCACACATCTGTGAGTCCATGGAGTGGCTGGTTGGTACATTCAAGGCAAACATGGGGAGGGCTGAGAATTTATATTGTGGACTCGGAGGGGAGATGAGAAGCTCCTATTGAAAAGCTTCCCCAAGACAGAATTAAAGGGGCTAAGAAGTTTGGTGACACCAAAAAATCCAAAAAGAGAAGCAGAGCTGCAGTGGGGTCCAAGGCAGACTCTGTCTCAAGCCCTGACTTTTGCTCTTACTTTCTATTTAGGAGCTTAAGAAATAAATTCTGTTCCTTCCGCACTTCAGCAACAACAAGTGCCTCACGCTCTATGGACCGAGCAGATTCTCACACCTGCTGAGTGTTTTGGGCAGGGTTTGGGAGCACCTACCTTTGTTTCTGGTGGATGGGCTGCTGCCTCATGGCCATGTACTGCGTGTCCTCCTGCAGGCGGTTCAGCGGCGACTCCGGCTTCAGGCGGATCCCATAGTAGTGATATTTGGAATTTCCCCTGGAAATATCAACTTAGTCACTAAAAAGGGCATTGTGGCCCTGGTTGCTTGGACAACACACCCCATTTCAGGCAGCACATGGCTGCCAAGCACTGTTTGAGTGGATGAAGGGATGAACTTGGTGCCTCAGGTTTGAGTTTTTATATTTTTCAGATTCTGTGCTGCTTTAGTGGGTGGGTCTGGGTTTCACATGAGGGGATGGTGAGCTCTGTGCACAGAGCAGGGAGACAAAACAATTCCTGCTATAGCTGGGGACCAAGGACAAATGATCCAAATCTCAGGCCCAAGAGCACAAACACCGTGGGCTGGAGAGAGAAAAACAAGCAGGATGGGACTGCATGGGCTAAAGCTGTAACTGGACACTTAAATACGCAAATGCAGCAGAACTTATAAAAGTGAGAGACCCTGTAACCAGTTGTACCTTTTTGTGACCATTTTGGTTCATCTTTAGTGTACCCCTGGCTGGGCTCTAATAAATCCCTATTTTATTAACAACTCTGTCTAATCTCTGTTCCAGCTCAGCCTTCACAAGGCATCAAACTAATGAAATGCCATCATCCCCTAGAAAATTTAAACCCACATGTGGCCACAGGCAGTGGCATTTATTCCTGTAGATCCCAGAAAAGAAACACCTGAACCTCCAAAAGATCCTCAGCAGCTTCTGAGTGCACCAGAGATGCTGCAGGAGAGCTGCTTTTTATTTCTTGTCGTAGGTTGATAAGGAAGTGAGTTTTTGGGAGGTTGTGGTCAAACCAATCAGTGCTCAGATTTGAATACTGGCAGGTGGTGTGGCCACTGAAGACATGGATACGCCTGTGAGGGACTCCTCTCTCCTTGATGAACTGAGAGTTGTTTATCTGAGGGCTGGTGATGAACTAAGAGTTGATTATCTGAGGGGTGGTAAATGGATTGAGAATCTAAGGTTTTATTTTGTTCTGTGGTGGAAACTGGGGGGGAGGAGGAGGAATGTTTTGGAAGCTTTTCATTCTATGTGTTTTCCTTTTTACATATTGTAAGTTAACAAAGTTTTTTTCCTTTACTCCTAAGCTGGAGCCCGCTTTGCTCTATTCCTAGTCACATCTCACAGCAGACACTGGGGAGAACACATTTTCATGGGGGCGCTGGCATTGTGCCAGCATCAAACCATGACAGATTAACTGCAGATTGGCACCAACCTGGTGCCCAGGCGCCGCGTCCTCAGCCCCATGAAGACGGAGCGGATGAGCTTCCCGAAGGAAGCGGCGTTGACGGGGTCCAGTTTGTGCTCCTGGCAGTGCCTCAGGTAATGGTTGTACAGGGAGCTCCGGGGCAGGCTCACACCCTCTGCTGTCTCGTAGTTATCCAGCAGCCACTGCAGCTTCAGGCAGGGAAAAATAAAAAAACATGCAAGTCTGAAGAGAGCTGAGAAGTCAGGCGGGGTCGATGTTTAAATGTCCGGATGTTGAAGTTCAAGAGAACTGAGTAATTAATTTATATGTGTTAATTAACATAAATTATAATTTATACAATTTTATAGGATAGCAAAAGCCAGTTTATAGGATGGCAAAATCCCCCAGCACAAACAAAACCAGTCAGATTTTTCATTAAAACACAATCCTGCTGCCACCTCAGTGTCCACCTTGGGTTCGGATGAATTCCTGCAGAGCCAAAATAAAGCTGTAAAAATTCACATTTTCCAAGGAAAAGAGAACTTGAGATACTGCCTAAGAGAAATAAATTTTAGGGGAAGCAAATTGATGCAAAGTCTTTATTAATTGGAAGATTGGCATGTCTGCAACTGCTCCCTTAACAATAAAATTAATGGTTGCCAAAGCAACCTTCAAAATCTGAGGGAATCCATCTACTTTGCAAAATTTACTGTCTGAACTCCTGACATGGCTGTTGATTAAAATTTGCAATTAATATAAATTATTTATACCAAGACAGTCTGAAAGGGCAGGTCCAGCACATGGTGTCAGCACAGGAATTCAAATGCAAAGCCCCCAATCTCCTTTAATTAACTAAATGACTTCAGCATCAATAAAATGAGAGTTGTAATAATTGAATTTTGGGAGGAATTGGATGTACACATGGACTAATATCAACAGGGTGGGTAAAAGCCCTTTCAGTGTCATGAGGGGTGTCTGGGATGAACATTTTGCAGGCTTCCCTCTCCCTCCAGACCTCCATCCCTGCACCAGAACCAGATGCACTCCCACCAGAACAGGGCAAAACAGATTTGGGTTGTGAAATCCAAATATCAGCCACAGCATCTCCAAAGAACTGACAGTCCAAGCAATTATAGGAACTGAGCATGGATTTAGTCTAAAAATCAGGGGGATTTGCCAAAGCCCATGGAGCTGCACCCAAACCCTCTCCAATGCCACCATCCCTCTCTCTTCTCCCATTTTCTCTTGGTGACACTCCAAGGTCCCACTTCAACACAAGGCTGGAGTTTTACATCAATAATTCTCTGAAAGACAACCTGAGCTGTGTGATGACATCTCTGGCACCTCCACTGAGCTGTTCCTGTGTCCCACCCCGCTGTCACACAGAGCCCTGCAGCCCCCTCAGGGTGTGCTCTGTGGGTCTCCTGCACACACCCACACTGAAACTGCTGCTGCACAAACTCAGCTGCATCCAAAGCTGTAATTAGAATTATTCTATCCAGCCTGGAGAGGAGAAGGCTCCAGGGACACCTCAGAGCCCCTTGCTGGGCCTGAAGGGGCTCCAGGAGAGCTGCAGAGGGATTGGGGACAAGGCCTGGAGGGACAGGACCCAGGGAATGGCTTCCCACTGGAAAAAGTGACATTTAGATGGGAAAAAATCCCATTTAGATGGGATATTGGGAAGGAATTTTTCCCTGGCACAGCTGGGGATGCTCACCTGGAGAGGAGAAGGCTCCAGGGACACCTCAGAGCCTAAAGGGCTCCAGGAGAGATGGAGAGGGACTGGGGACAAGGGAAGGAGGGACAGGACACAGGGAATGGCTTCCCGCTGGAAAAGAGGAGATTTTTGTGGAATATTGGGCAGGAATTGTTCCCTGTGAGGGTGGGCAGGCCCTGGCACAGGGTGCCCAGAGCAGCTGGGGCTGCCCCTGGATCCCTGGCAGTGCCCAAGGCCAGGCTGGGCAGGGCTTGGAGCAGCCTGGGACAGTGGGAGGTGTCCCTGCCATGGCAGGGGTGGCACTGGATGGGCTTTGAGGTCCCTCCCAACCCAAACCATCCCATGATTTGTCAGCTGGAGCTGATCCAAATCCAACCACAAATTCCCATGGCTGCACCCATCAGCTCTGGTAGATTTTGGAGCTGGAAGAAAGAAAAACCTCCCGGCCATTTGTGCCTCTGTCCTGCTTTTCAGGAGCCTCCTGTCCCACTCCCACCTTCCCCCAGCTCCATTCCACCCAGGGCACTCTTTGAGGAGATCCCTTCTCCAAACCCCACAGCTCCAATAAATGTTTTGTTAATGATCCATAATGACCCTTCCTGCTCCCACCTGCAGCACAGACACCCTTGGAAGCCCCAAAAAGCCTTTTTGTGGCCCTGAGCCTCCCCCAGCCATTCAGTGCCCTCTAACAAAAATGGACCCCAGTGGTTTTGCCATAAAACACCAGCAGGAGTTCAGTTTTTAAGCTGTCCACATCTATGTTAATTTTGGCCCATCCCCTATGTTTAAGAGATTATTGCTTAAGATCTTTTCAAATTTTTAATGCAGGTATTTTATTTATCCTATGGAAGGTACTGAATGTGCATCAGCTATTTATCCCCTAAATCTTAATCCTTAAGCCTTAAAAAAAATATAAAAGTTGTGTATTGCTATGGAAAATCCAGATACAGATAAACCTTCTCATTTAAATTTGATCCTGGGCAATTTTTATTCTAATCTCTGATATTTCTAGAAGATTCCCTTCATCTCCCAGCTTCCTTTTCCTACAAATGTCTTTTTATATTCCCTCAAACATTGCAGAGTTTCACAATATGAACTCCCACTATTGAATTAGAAATTTATTATGAAGAACACAAAAGAGCTTAAAACAGAGATCTGTCAGAATATAAATAATTTTCCAATCGTGATTTTTGTTCTTCCTGCACAACTAATAACACATTGGGCACTTTAAATGAGAAAATTAAAAACTCTTTCCATCTGAATCTTTTCTTCTGTTTGCTTTCTGAATTTTGTTCTGTTGTGACAATCAGATATTTCTGATTATTTCCTCAGTTTATTTCTGTTTATGCTGTGATCAGGTTCAATAAAATCACTCTACAGCCATATGCTGCTATATGCTGCTGTGGTTGTTATTGGCACTACAGGGGAACATTTAATTTTCATTTCTACCTTAACTTTATTTCTATCTGACTGTTTGAAAAAAAAAAAAAAAAACACTGACTAAAACCTTATCCTGGTTTGATCCAAGGGTGGAAAAAGCCACTCATGGGGCTAATGGAGAAAATAATTTTTTTTTTTTGGAGGTGCAGGTTTGGAGACATTTTCTTGTGGCTACTTCTATGAAATATAAAAAATAAACCATTTGTGGATCATATTTAAGGTGTTTTTAGCTGGGACCATGAGCAGCAGAGCATCCAAGGTTGGGTTGGACAGAGCTCTGAGCATCCAAGGCTGGGTGGGACAGAGCTCTGAGCATCTCTGGAGCATCCAAGGCTGGGTGGGACAGAGCTTTGAGCACCCCTGGAGTACCCAAGGCTGGGTTGAACAGAGTTCTGAGCATCCCTGGAGTACCCAAGGCTGGGTTGAACAGAGCTCTGAGCATCCCTGGAGGATCCAAGGCTGGGTTGAACAGAGCTCTGAGCATCCAAGGCTGGGTGGGACAGAGCTCTGAGCATCCCTGGAGTACCCAAGGCTGGGTTGAACAGAGCTCTGAGCATCCCTGGAGCATCCAAGGCTGGGTGGGACAGAGCTCTGAGCATCCCTGGAGTACCCAAGGCTGGGTTGGACAGAGCTCTGAGCACCCTGCTCTGGTGGAAGGTGTCCCTGCCCATGGTAGGAGGTTGAAATTAAATAAGAATGAGCTTTAAGGTCCTTTCCAACCCAAACCATGCTGGTCCAGCTTCCTGCTTAGATCAGGGTACCCTTCCATGGGCTCAGGTCCCTCACTCAGAGGAGCCCCAAAAGAACCTCCCTGGGCAATGGCACTGCAGCTCCTCTAGCTCTGGAACTGCCTCATCTGCTTCCCCCGTGTGCTGTGTCCCCTTCAGGCACTGCTCATCCGCCATTTTATTCCCACATGTCCCCAGACACCTCCCTGAGCAGGGACACTGGGGACAGCAAGGACCTGGAGGGTTCCTCAGCCCAGGAACTGCACTTTGTGCCTGGAGCTGCACCTTCAGAGGAACCAGCTGGGGCTGGATGTGTTATTCATGCTCAGGAAGGAGTTTGTCTGTGCTCACACATGCTCAGGAAGGAGTTTGTTTGCTCCAGAGGTTGCACTTAAACCTTAGGCCAGACTATGAACCACAACCTAGAACCAGGGACATCAAGGACCCAGAACCAGGGACATCAAATTCTGCACTTCCACCATGCAAGACCAGGGAGGGGAAGGTCTCATCAGGGGCTGGACGAGGCCCCCACTCCATCCTGCATTTTGTAGTCACTAAAATCTCTTTTCTACCTTTTGCTCTCTTTCCTCTGCTCTTTTCCTGATTTTATTTCAAACTTTGTCCTCGATGAACAAGAAAAATCCTGCAGAGCAGCACAATCCTCGTGCAGCATTTGAGGAGTGCCCAGCCTGGGGTGGGAGGGATGCTCAGCACAGGAACTGCCTGATGCTGCAGGTTTGTGTTTCCCCAGCTACAACCAAAAACCTTCACTCAAAGTTTGAGCTTCCTCAGGAGCCCTGGCCTGGAGTTTGAAATCAGAATAAATAATCAGACTGGTTTAAAGTTCCTTTTGTTGTCTCAGGGTGAAGAAGCCAAAGGTTTTTATTTTTTGCCCTAAGAATGACAACAAACCAGCCCTCAAACCCAGAGAAAACCTGTTAGAGAAGAGAAACACCACTTTGTGCATGGGATTTATGGGTGCAGGACATGCTTGAGCTTCATCCAAACACAGGGAAAACAAAGTCCAGGGACCCCAACATGACCTGGATCAACCCAAATCTCACCCAAGCATGTGCTCAACCCTCAGTGTTCCTGCATGGGAGCCACAAACCAGGATGCAAAGGCCCAGCAGAACAGTGGGAATATCACACAAAGCAGGGAAATCCTTGGCACAGTGAGAGAGAGGCCCAGCACATGGATTTAGCACAGCATTGTGACAGGAATGGCCTTCCTGAGGCACAGAGAGAGGGGAAAAAAGGCATTCAGAGGCTTTTGGTTGAGGGGGATCTGTCACAATTCACACCAAGTCATGCCTCTGCATTTACAAGTAATTTTCCAGCCACGTTTCAGTTCCAATAAAAGGAAAAGAACTTCCTCCAGTGTGTTTATCTGATTGCCAGCAATTTCCATTGCAAGGCAGATGAAATAAATAAACACATTTATATTTATTATGAATAAATAACAGACTCCTGAGCATCTCAGCAGCAAACATTATCATATAGCACTTTTTGCAGCCTCTTTTTCCTTGGGAATGGGCTGCTTTGGGCAGCACAGCTCAATCACAGGCTGCTTTTGAGTGCCTCATGCTGTTGAATACACCAAAGAAATAATTCTCCTACCAAAGCAGGGGAAAAGGTTGTAAATTCTGATTGTGACTTACATGGCTGTTGAGCAAACTGCTTTTGTGTGATGTTATCCCTTCATTTTTTTGTAGGTTTTCAATCGCCATTTCAAGCTAAAGAAAAACGTGCACAGGAGAGAGAGAGAGAAAACAAAAAAAAAAAAAAAAGGAAAAAGAAAGGAAATCAGATAGTTAGCAACAGCCAGGATTATTGTTTCTTTATTAATATTTGAATGATTAATGCTTTATATCAACAAGCTGGTGAAAAAGAGGCAAACAGATGTGGATGGAGCTGCAGAGGCGTTACTGGGACATGCAAATGGAAACACAGCAGGGATCCCCTCAGGGGTGACAAAGCAAGGCCAGGGGGGGTTCATCTTCCACTAAAAGCACTGCCTATTTATATAAAAAAAAGCAATTTTCCTCCTCTTTTTCCCTTCCTGCTGAGAGCAAACCATCACCAGGCAGATGCACTGCAGAGATTGGCTGCAGAGCAGGACCCAGGCTTTCCAAGGAGAGCTGGCAGTCATGACTTGGTCACCTCTCCATATTTTGTCAAAATCCCCTAAAAAATATCCCTAAAAAATTAACTAAAGCTGGGGTGCAAGGAGAGTGCATGAACTGGAATGGTCAGAGACTGCCTGCAGAGTTGTACTTAAACCTTACACTCAGGCTTTTCAAGGATAGCTGGGAATAATAACTTGGTTACTGCCACCTCTTAATATTTTGTCAAAAACCCTAAAAAATTAATTAAAACTGGGGTGCAAGGATGCAAGGAGAGTGCATGAACTGGAATGGTCAGAGATTGGCTGCAGAGCTGGACCCAGGCTTTTCAAGGAGAGCTGGCAGTAATGACTTGGTCACCTTGTCAAAAAAATCTAAAAAATTAACTAAAATTGGGATGCAAGAAGAATGCATGAACTGGAATGGTCAGAGATTGGTTGCAGAGTTGGACCCAGGCTTTCCAAGGAGAGCTGGCAATAATGACTTTGTTACTTGTCACTGCTTCATATTTTGTTAAAAACCCTAAAAAATTAACTAAAATTGGGGTGCAAGGAGAGTGCCCAAACAGGAATGGGTGAGGGCTCTCTGCTGCTGAGAGCTGCAAAGGGAAGAAGGCAGAGCCAGATTTCACTTGGGTGATTTCTCCCCCACAAGCCAGGCTGGAACATTTGCTGCTGCCTGTTCTGGTTTCCGTTGATCTCAGAGCAGCCAAGGTGAGACTTTCTGGCTGCTGAGGAGCCCCTGACCCCCTGGCTGCCTCCTGCTCCCCTTCAGCCCAGCTGTGGATGCTGCCTTGTGCCTCAAGCCTCTCCTGAACCCTTCTTGTCTTCTCCATTCTGCTGCTGGGGCAGAACCTGGGCTCCTGGAGCAGATGGCTGCTGGTCCCAAAACTCCAGTGCTCCTCTACGGGGAAAAACAATCCTCAAACCTCCCCAAATTCCACATTAGAGCCTGGCAGGAGAAGAACCTGTTTGTCTCCAGCAGATGTTCCCTGTTTGAGATGTCCCAAATCCTGTTGGCTGTGCCCAGGCAGGACAAGGACAGAGAACCTGCAGCCAAAGCTCTGCTCTGTCCTCATTTAACACTTTGTGGGCACACCCACAAAACATCTGCAGATGATGTGTCCCTGTCCATGGCCTCCTGCCTGCCCTGACTCAGCCCACAGTGGAGATCAGGGCTGAGATAAACCCAGCCCTGCACAAAGCCAGGCTCTGTCACAGCAGGGTGGCAGAGCAGAGATCAGACCCAGCTTCTGAGGTGACATCCAGCAACTACATCCAGGTGTGAAGGTGGCACCACCTCCAGCAAAGTCCCTTGGTTCCCACCCCAAAGTGGAACTACTTCTGGAGGGGTTCTCCCTAAATTCAGGCTCAGATTAGTGGGGTTTCCCTGCCCCACACCTCACCCAATTCAGGCCCAGATTAGTGGGGTTTCATTGCCTCACCCCATTCAGGCTCAGATTAGTGGGGTCTCACTGCCTCACACCTTACTCAATTCAGGCTCAGATTAGTGGGGTTTCATTGCCTCAAACCTCATCCAATTCAGGCTCAGATTAGTGGGGTCTCACTACCTCACATCCCACCCAATTCAGGCTCATATTTTTGGGGTTTCACTGCCTCACATTTCACCCAATTCAGGCTCAGATTAGTGGGGTTCCATAGCCTCACTTCTCCCCCAATTCAGGCTCAGATTAGTGGGGTCTCACTGCCTCACCTCTCCCCCCATTCAGGCTCAGATTATTGGAGTTTCACTGCCCCACACCATGATGGACCACGAGGAAGCACAGCCTGAGTGCTGACACAGCCTTCAGGAAATGACTCAGAGGCAGAGGGAGACCCAATTTCCTTCCTCTGCCTGCGCAGGGGCTGTTTGAGCAGCAGCTCTGAGGCAAGCCCAGAAATGCTGCCTGGCTGTTGCTGTTGGCAAATGTCCCATCCAAAAGGACACCTTGCATCTGCAATAAAAACTGTCACAGGGGAAAAACCAAAAACTCTTGAGCAGCTCTGCAGGAAGGTGAAGAGCTCTGAGGCCCCACTTGTGAGAGGTCTCAAGGATTTCCTCTCTTAGTCCAGACTAATTTAGGTGAAGATTAATAGTGCAGTGTTGGCACAGATATTGAATGTTCCCTGTGCTGTTTGAGCAGAACATTGGTGTTCCAGCACAGAGGGAAGGTTTCCTAAGAGGTTTCTTGAAGTATCTCAAGATTTTTCTTTGGTACACACACAGACTTTACCAAACATCTCTCAGCCTCCTAAGGACCACTGCTAATCCTGAAGTATTCCAATATTTCAGTTTTCCTCTGGAGGTGCCCTCCTTGCCATCAACACCTCCAATCCCTCTCCTTCCCCATCTCTGACCACTCTGATGTCCATCCCCAAGGCCAGGGCAAAAACCCTTTGGCATCCCTGGCTCTGCTTTCCTTTCCTCCCACACAGCTCCCAATCCTGCCCCAATCTGGCCTCTTTGTCATCAATACACTTTCAATTAACCTTCCTCTATATTTCCTACTATCAAAAACAATAACCAACTGTCATCATCACTCCACAACCACCCCCAAACAGACATAGAATCAACCCCAGAACTAACCCCCCACAAAAAACCAAACAAAAATACAAACCAGCCTTTCCCAGTCCCTGTTTAGGCTGGACATTAAAACAGAAAATAAAGTTCAAATGGATTTGGTTCAGTTCCTGCTGTCCTTAAGCCACCCATCCCTCCTGGTGGGTGCTCCTGGATCTCTGGCAGTGCCCAAGGCCAGGCTGGACAGGGTTTGGAGCACCTGGGATGGTGAAGGTGTCCCTGCCATGGCAGGGCTGGCACTGGATGAGCTCTAAGATCCCAAACCAAATTATTCCAGCATTAATTCCAAGCAGTCCAGGCTCTGCTCCAGTCCCCTCTGACCCTGGTCTGAGCTGGAAGGACAGACAGCCACACACAGACACAGCCCTGGATTACCTGCCAGGCTCTTTCCCACCTTTTCCAGCCCTTCCTCAGCTATTTTGTGTTAAAATACCTTCAGAAAGCTCATCTGTACATGCAACAGAGTGGATTTATCTCAGATGTATTTCTATAAAGGTCACTTTCTAAATCTCTTTTTTTTGTTTTGTTTTGCTGAACAGCCTTATCTCATGTAATAACATCAACTAAATCCATTCATGGGATATTTCTACTGACATATTTTCCACTTGGGCTTTTATATCATGCTCATCACCATGGAAATTACAAAAACCCCAAACAACAACATTAAAAAAATCCCCCAAAAATCCAAGAGTAAAGTAGTGCAGTTTTGTAAGATGCAGTCCCACACAGGTGATGCCTCCAAATAATAACTTTTAGTAAAAACCAAATGCTCCAGTGCTAATTTTTAACTGTGAACAGTTAAAATACACACACAGACAATTCTCACTCAAGAAAAGAATCTCAATATCTGTCATTTTCTCTTCCACCCAAACCAAGGACTTTTCCCCTATGCCTACCCAAGGCAGAGCACAGGATCAAAGCAATCTTTCAAGGCACAAAGATTCAAAAACCATAAAATCTATATTCAAAAACTCAGTGGGAAATAAAGCACAACTTAACAGGCCAGATTTACATGAGTTCTCAGTAGCAACAGCTCCTGCTTTTCTCCCTAGTGATGCTGCTCACATTTGAAATTCTGGCTACATACCCTGAATTACACCTACATTAGTATTTATATTTATATTTGAATGCATAAACACACAGAAGTCTGCAGAGGGAGGTGAGCAGCCCCAGGAAATGAGCTGCAAACACTCCTGGCAGCTGCTCAGGGCTGGGAGATTCCCAAATCAAAGCCCTTACAGCAAAAAGGCTGTTTTGGGTGAAGAGCTGTAACCCTCAGTCCCACACAGATGTGCTCCAGCACCTGCCACAGCTGGCAGCTGGAGAGACACCCTCCAAAGAGAGAAATCAGAACTTTAAACCATTTCTGTTTGATCAATATCACCCTAAAAGACATTTTCTAAACATATGGCAAGGGCAGAATACACAATGGTGTAGGAGATGTATACACAAAGAGTTTTTGATCACTGTGCACTCAGCATGATCAGCTTGAATATAACTTATGTTCACACCTTCATCATTCCTCAATTGTCTCTTAATCCAACAGAGATTAGAGAGCAAAACCGAATTAACCTCTTGTTAATTTGTTAATTAATCCCATTTTCTCCATTTCCAAACGAAATAAATAATAATAATTATCCAATGGGTTAAGGAAGATTGTCTCAGGTCTCTTCACAATTGAAGACATATTTCAATATTTTGGTTAAGCATGTGAGACGTTTGACCTATAGAAAATGTAAATAGAGACAAATTTACAGTAGAAAACAGGGCCAAATAATTAAATGCCAAAATGTAAATAGAGACAAATTTACATTAGAAAACAGGGCCAAATAATTAAATCCCAAAATGTAAATAGAGACAAATTTACAGTAGAAAACAGGGGCCAAATCATTAAAAACCAAAATGTAAGTAGAGACAAATTTACAGTAGAAAACAGGGGCCAAATCTTTAAAAACCAAAATATTTTGTTTGGGAGGGAAAAAAACCAAACCAAATGTAATGTTTTATTAATATTTGACTGATTAATGCTTTATTAATATTTGAATCATTAATGCTTTCTCTTCTCTAATGCTGCTGATTATTTCAGCGATCTGAGCGAGAGGGACAATCCAAACTGAAAAATAAACGTACAACACCAGTGTCTATTCTCCCCCTTGCACTCATAGACATAAACAACGATAATGGCAGGTCAGTTAAATTTTCTGAAGGCTTTTCAGATCCCTTTGGAATCATTGCTGGCCCCCTTGCTGAGGTGCCTGCAGGGCTACATACCGTTGCTGGAGAGGAGCGTGAGGTGTGAGACAGAGAATGTCTAGAGTTCTCCAGCCCCCCATGAATGAGATAGGCTCCCGAGCCGGAGAGGATCTGACTTCCCCCAATGTCCATGGTGATGCCCACCATGTTGTGAGAGGGAATGGCTGTAGGAGAGGATGTCGCTGTAGTCACCTGAGCTCCTCCTCCTCCTCCTCCTCCCTGCGCTTCGAAATAGGGCGCGGCGCTGGCGGGGGCGTAAATCTGCGCCTCGCTGCTGTAAGAGTAGGCAGCTCGTCTGTGCAGGGGACAAAAGAGAGGAAATATGTGCTGGACAGCTTCAGAAAGCTAGATAAGTGTCAGAAAACCCCTGGTGTTAAAGGTTAGCCCTTGTGTTTGCCACTGAGATTATTCTTGTTCGCAACCATGTAGGTATGGTAAAGTGGGAACACGAAATATACCACACCTCTACCAACCCTCAGTTGTGTCTAAATCCAACAGAGACTAAAGAGCAAGACCAAATTAACCTCTATAATCCCATTTTGGACATTTCCAAATAAAATTTTTCCTGTAAGATTATATCCCCGTTGTGGGTGGCAACCCAATAAGCATGGTAAGGTGGGAACAAGAAAACCATACCACACCTCCATTAGGCGAGACTAGAGAGCAAAACCAAATTAACCTCTTGTTAATTTGTTAATTAATCACATTTTGTCCATTTCCAAATGACATTTTTTCTGTTCCCACTGTAAGATTATTCTTGTTGTTCACAACCCCATAGGCATGGCAAGGTGGGAACAAGAAATATACCACACCTCCATCATTCCTCAGTCGTTTCTTAATCCAACAAAGACTAAAGAGCACGACTGAATTAATCTCTGCAATTCCATTTTGTCCATTTCCAAATAAAATTTTTCCTGTTCCCACCGTGAGATTATATCCCTGTTGTGGGTGGCAACCCCATAGGCATGGTAAGGTGGAAACGAGAAATATACCACACCTCTATCTTCCCTCAGCTGTCCCTTAATCCAACACAGACTAAAGAGCAAGAATGAATTGGCCTCTGTAACCCCATTTTGGACATTTCCAAATAAAATTTTTCCTGTTCCCAGTGTAAGATTATTCTTGTTGTTCACAACCCCATAGGCATGGTAAGGTGGGAACAAGAAATATACCACACCTTCATCATTCATCAATTGTTTCTTAATCCAACAAAGACTAAAGAGCAAGACTGAATTAATCTCTGCAATCCCATTTTGTCCATTTCCAAATAAAATTTTTCCTGTTCCCACTGTAAGATTATATCCCTGTTCTGGGTGGCAACCCTGTAGGCATGGTAAGGTGGGAACAAGAAATATACCACACCTCCATCATCCCTCAGTCGTTTGTTAATCCAGCAGAGAATAAAGAGCAAGACTGAATTAACCTCTGTAATCCCATTTTGGATACTTCCAAATAAAGTTTTTCCTGTTCCCACTCTAAGATTATTCTTGTCGTTCACAACCCCGTAGGCATGGTAAAGTGGGAACAAGAAAGCCACACCACACCTTCATCATTCCCCAATTGTCTCTTAATCCAACAGAGACTGAAGAGCAAAACCGAATTAATCTCTTGTTAATTTGTTAATTAATCACATTTTGTCCATTTCCAAATAAAATTTTTCCTGTTCCCACTGTAAGATTATAGTCCTGTTGCAGGTGCCAAGCCCAGAGGCATGGTAAGGTGGAAAGCCATACCACACCTCCATCATTCCTCAATTGTCTCTTAATCCAACAGAGACTAAAGAGCAAGACTAAATTAACCTCTGGAATCCCATTTTGTCCATTTCCAAATAAGATTTTTCCTGTTCCCACTGTCCTTGTCCACATCAACAAATGCTGGTAAAAATTATTTTCATTTATTTTTTTGAGAAGGGTAAATGATCCAAATCAAAAATGAGTAAATTGTTTGAGCCAAATGACTAATAGAAAAGGAAAAGGGGGGTTTGTTACAGATAAATAATGTCATAGTTGGCTCTCACAATTAAGAGATTGATATTTTGTAGATGAGCCACGTGGCTGGCAGTCACAGGAATTCCCAGTGCTGAAAACCTTTTCCTTATTGAAAAAAAGATTAAAAAAATTTAAAAATTATTAAATTCCTTATTTTAAAAATTTCTTTGTTGCAATTTTTGTTAAGGTTTAATAAACCTTTGAAATTGTAAAAGTGAACAGTTGTTTCTGACAGTGGGAATGGGATCAGTCAGCCCCACAGCACAAGCTCAGGGTGAGGGCAGCTCCTTATGAGGAACTGGGGTGGGGAAAGCCAAAAAGAGGCACAAAATAGGGCACAGCTGGCAGGAGGAAAAGGAAATTCTAAGAATGGAGAGGACCTGGCACAGCTGTGGCTGCTCCATCCCTGGAATGTCCAAGGCCCAGCTGGAAGAGGCTTGGAGCAGCCTGGGATGGTGGAAGGTGTTGGGGAGTTGGAAGGAGATGGGATTGAAGGTCTTTTCCAACCCAAGCAATTCTAGGATTCCTTAAGTCTATAAAATCTTCCAACAGCCCCTTTTACCCTGGAAGTTCCATTCCTAAAACTCCCCATGGCACCATGCAAAGTTTTTAGACAAATTTCATGACCAGGATTCCCTGGAGAACAATCCCTCCATGAGGAGAACACCACCAGGGCTGGAAACCACCCTCACACCCAGCACAGCACCTGAACAGCTCCTCCTCTTCCTCCTCCCATGGAAGGAGGCAGGGGGACAGCTCAGGGAGGTTCTTACATGGTTCCATTGGTGTAAACAGCTTCTCCTCCTTCCACATACTGCACCTGGGCTGGATAAACGTGCTGCACAGACTGCACCTGCAACAGGCACCAAGAGGTCAGGGGTTGCTCAGGAAGTGCTGGTTAAAATGCACAGCTCCAAACTTACCTTGACACTTTGGCTTTCTTTAGAAAAAAAAAAAAAACAGAAAAATCAAAAAACAAACAACCCCCCCACCCCCCCAAAAACCAAAAAAAAACCAAACCAAAACAAAGCAAACAAACAACAAAAAAAAAAAACCAAAACCCCCCCCACCCAACCCACAAAAAAAACCAAACCAAAAAAAAACCCAAAACCAAAAAACCCCCAAAAAACCAAACAAAAAGCCTACCAAAAACCCCACCAAACCAAACAAAACCCCCCCAAAAAACAAAGCCAAAAAAACCCAAAAAACCACCAAAAACCACCAAACAAAAGAAAAAAACCCCAAAAACAATAAACTCAAAAAACACCCAAAACCCCCCCAAAAACCAAAACAAAACAGAACCCTAAAAAACCCCAAAACCAAAAAAATCAAACAATAAAACAAGAACAACAACAAAACAAACCCAACCCCCCAAAAAAACCCAAAACAAACAAAAAAACCCTAAAAAACCCCAAAACAAAAAAACCCCAAAGAATAAAACAAGAACAACAAAACAAACCCAAACCCCCCTCCCCAAAAAACCCAAACAAACCAGAACCCCCCCCCCCAAAACAGAACAAAACAAACACTAAAACAAGAACAACAACAACAACACAAACCCCAAAAACCCAAAAAACAAACAAAAACCCATCCTGCCTGCCCTTCCTCCCCTCCATGCTTAGGAATGCCAAAGAAAAGGAGGTTTTTATTTTCAAAGGTCAAGTTAAAATAGATAAATAAGTGGTTGCTCCATGAGAACTGGAAACAATGGAGCTGGGTTTGCTCTGCACACGTGTCTTGGGGCTGACTAACAGGGCTGAGCTCAAGCTGCAGCTTTTCTTTCAGAGGGGATCCTGACAATGTCCAGCTGCACCCCAGCCCCTTTTTTGTTACTCTGGGAGGGAAGGATTTGCCCCCCTGAAATGAAGAAATCAAATTAGAAAATCACTAAAGAAAAAAAATTACTAAAGATAATCACTAAAGAAAAAAAGAGGGTCAGACTTTCTGTTCACATGGAGCAGCACCACACATCCCTGGTTTCTTAGGAAACAAGCCCTGGAAAAGGCAAAGTTCAAGTAAATAAAAATACTTGCATGGCTCTCTGGCACCAAATCTTCCTATGGAGTCACACGCAGGCAGTAAATTTGTTTAATTAAAAAAAAACCCAAACATTTTGCCTCTAAAAAACATCTTTACTAAAGGATTTAATTTTAATTTAACTCTGATTTAAGAAATGCTTTTAAATTTAAGTTGAAAGCATACATCAAATCTTCAAATACATGAAAGACAACTACTACAGCAAAGGTTTTTCCTAAACTTCAAATATCTTTGAGAATTTCTTTTGTCATCAAGACAGGAGGAGAGAGCTGGAGAAAGTGATGGCAGCTCTGTGAGTGCCCACAATGCTTTAATTAGGATTTTTCTAGATGCGGCAGAGTTTCAGGAGTGGGACTGGGGACCTGTCTGGGTGTCCCCAGGGTTCATTACCTGCTGTGGAACCTGCTGGACTCTGGGAACAGAGATTTGCTGCATCTGTGCCCCTTTGGGAGCAGAGCCTGTGGCCTGGACCAAAACCCTCTGCAAGGAGAAAATAGAGGAAGAGACAATTTCAGTCCATAACCCAGTTGAGCCAGGTGTTCTGTCCCCAAATTTCATGGCCAGTTTGCCTCTGACACCAGCAGTGACATCCTGTGATCAGTGTCCCCAAGGTCCCCACCCTCCCGTGGGGTGCACCATCCTAAGCTCAGCCCCTGAATTTGGGCAAATTTCTGCCAGTAATTATCTTCAAACCTCCAGGAAAAGAAGCAGCAGTTCATTGATCAGCTCAGCCCTCTGAATTTGGGCAAATTTCTGCCAGGAATCATCTCCAAACCTCCAGGAAAGGATGTAGCAGTTCATTGATAAGCTCAGGCCCCTGAATTTGGGCAAATTTATGACAGGAATTATCTCAGTTCACTGATCAGCTCAACCCCCTGAATTTGGGCAAATTTCTGCCAGGAATCATCTCCAAACCTCCAGGAAAGGAAATAGCAGTTAACTGATAAGCTCAACCCCTTGAATTTGGGCAAATTTCTTTTAGGAATCATCTCCAAACCTCCATGGAAGGAAGCAGCAGTTCATTGATCAGCTCAGCCACATCTGAACAAGGATCTCTCCTCACACATCCACATTTGGCTGCAAAGTTCCTTCTCTCAGAGCTGCTAAACCCAACCAAACTCTGCCTCCTGCAGCAAGAAATCCCCCCCAGCTCCTGCCAGCACCAAAGTCAGGGGGTTCTGCTTCTCCCTGCTCTGCCACCAAGGGCACAGGGACATTTCGTGGTGCTGGTGGCTCTGTCACCTCCTGCATCCCCTGTCTTACACTCCATTTTCAGTCTGGGGTTGTCAGCACATCTCAGAGTGTTCAGCACCTTCAGATGCAGCAAAAAACAAACGTGGGGATGTGGTGATGGAGAGAAAGGATTCAGTGGGAACACAGCCAAGCATCTCCATGGCCTCTTAAACCTTCTCCAAGGAGACAATTCCTTTAAAAACACCCAGAAGATTGGGCCAGGGCTGGAAAAATCCCAGGAAAAATCCTGGGAGAGAGAATTCTGTCTCTCTTTGTTCTGAGAATGCAAATACCACATGGGCCAACAGAACAAAGAGCCAGAAAATCCCAGAAACAACCTTGAGACTTAGTGGCTACCTGGATATTTATGGTGGATAAATAACTTCCATGGATAACTACCATGGATACTTATGATGGATAACCATCATAAATAAATTCCATGGATAACTACCATGGATATTTATGATTTTTAGCCTTCTCAGCATATCCATGTAACAACCAGAAATCCAGTTCTAGCAGAATCCCAGGTTTATGACAATTGCCCAGATCTCCAGGCAGCTGCTCCAGGCTGCATTCCCTGGAGAGCCTCCACTTATTTCAGCCATCTCCTGGCCTGTTTTCCCTCACCAGTGCAGGGTGGGGACATCACATTTTGAAATCAGACCTTGGCAATGCCACCTACATCAAAGACTCTTTCCTTTCTCTGTCACAGCCATATTTTATGAAAAATCCTTTTGTTAGGATTTTTTCTCCTGAAAGGCTGAGGGGCCTCAGGAACAAAATGTAAACATTGATTATCTGCTGCTGTAGAATGCAACAGGTGCATCTGTGATTGGTCTCATGTGGTTGTTTTTAATTAATGGCCAATCACTGTCAGCTGGCTCAGACTCTCTGGTCAATAGAAGAAATCCTTTCTTCTATTCTTTTAGTATAGTTTATTATTTTCTTTTAACATAATATATATATAATAAAATAATAAATCAGCCTTCTGAAACATGGAGTCAAGATTCTAATCTCTTCCCTCATCCTGGGACTCCTGTGAACACGGTCAAATTGGTGACCCTGAGTGAGGAACATTCCTTTTCCCTTTTCCCTAGTCCAGATGTCTCAGACCCTCTGGCCAGTCACAAGATTTTATTCCATTCCTTTCTATTCCTTTTTAGCCTTCTGATGAAATCCTTTCTTCTCTTCTTTTAGAGTACTTTTAATATATCATTTTCTTTTAATATATTATATATCATAAGATAATCAATCAGCCTTCTGCAACATGGAGTCAAGATTCTCATCTCTTCCTGTGAACACCACCACATTCCTCCTGTTTTTTGCCCATTTTCTGGCACTGCTTTTGCCAGATGCCACATCCCTGGCCCTGTGCTCTGCTATCACCTTCCAGCCAAGATAAGGAATCATCCCCACCTGGAAGGTGAGGCCATCCTGCTCAAACCCAAAGGGGCCCCAGTGCTCCACAAGGGTTTCAGCCTCACACCATTCCTGCTGCAAGCAGCTCATCCCCAGGGATTGCTTTGTCCTGCTGGTGAGAAGGAAGGCTCTGGATGCTCCTCCTCTTCAGCAGTCTTCACTATGCCCTGGGTTTTCCTTAATCCAAGCAGTTCCATTCCAGCGGCTGGATGGGTGACTTTATAATCCAAAGGTTTTCCAACCTTTGTTCACAGCCAAATCCACTCTGTGATCCTGAGGACACTTGGCACTGCTGTCCCCAGCCCTGCCACACCAGCAAGGATGGGAGGTGACAGCAGCACTCTGCATCACCCCATGACTCCTGGAAAGTCAAATATTCCTTCCATTCCCAATCTTGAATTGTTCCTTTCCATCAGCATCCAATGGCAGCTGCTGCTGCTGCTCACTTGGGAGTTGGAGAAGGATGAAGCTGAGTTACACCCACCCATCCTCTCATCCCTGTAATGTAGAAATTTCTTTTGCAAGTTCCCCAAAAGGCAGAAAAAGGAACAAAAATGAAGCAGTTTCACTTAACCCTTCCCATTTTGCTCTGGGTGGTTCCTGTTCATCACTTGCCTCCTGTTGGGCCTCCCAAATGCAGCACATGCATGGGCATTAATCACAAATCCCCCTCTGCAAATTCAAATGTTGGGATCTGCCTACCCAGGGAAGAGACCATGGGATGGTTTGGGTTGGGAGGGATCTCAAACCACACCTTGTAAAGCTTGGCAGAGCTCAAACCCACAGGACAACACTTTTATCAGCAGGTTGTCCTCACTACCTCAATGAGATGATTAAAACCCCTCTCCCCACTATCAAAACCTGGGGTTAAAATCAACTGGCACAAAGTGACCACCTTAGAAACCTAAATTACACCCCAAAATTCACCTTGTAAAGCTTGCATGTGGATTGGGAGTGCTCAAACCCACAGGGCATCACCTTTATCAAAAGGTTGAACCCAGTACCTCAAAGAGTTGCTTAAAAACCCTCTCCCCACTATCAAAACCTGGGGTTAAAATCACCTGCCACAAAGTGACCCCATTGGGAACCTAAATTGAAACCCAAACCTTTTAAAGCTCGCACATGGATTGGCAGTGCTCAAACTCACAGGACAACATTTTTATCAACAGGTTGTCCCCACTACTTCAAGGAGGTGATTAAATACGCTCTCCCCACTATCAAAACCCGGGATTAAAATTAGCTGGCACAAAGTGACCCCCTTGGGCACCCCAAACCCCACCTTGTAAAGCTTGGCCGAGCTCAAACTCACAGGACATCACCTTTATTAACAGGTTGTCCCCAGTACCTCAAAGAACTGATTAAAAACCCTCTCCTCACTACCAAAATCTGGGATTAAAATCAGCTGGCACAAAGCGACCCCCTTGGGGACCTAAATTAAACCCCAGAACTCACCTTGTAAAGTCTGCATGTGCATTGGGAGCACTCAAACCCAAAGGACATCACTTTTATCAACAGGTTGTCCCCAGTACCTCAAAGAACTGATTAAAAACCCTCTCCCCAGTATCAAAACCTGGGATTAAAATCAACTGGCACAAAGTGACCTCCTTAGAAACCTAAATTAAACCCCAACCTTTTAAAGCTTGCACATGGATTGGGAGCATTCAAACCCACAGGACATCACTTTTATCAACAGGTTGAATCCAGTACCTCCATGAGCTGATTAAAAACCCTCTCCCCACTATCAAAAACTGAGATTAAAATCAGCTGGCACAAAGTGACTCCCTTGGGGACCTAAATTAAACCACAAATGCCCCCTTTTAAAGCTTGAATGTGGATTGGACATCAAACCCACAGGACATCACTTTTATCAACAGGTTGTCCCCTCTACCTCAAGAAACTGATTTAAAACCTTCTCCCCAGTATCAAAAAGTGGGATTAAAATCAGCTGGCACAAAGTTACCCCCTTGGGGACCTAAATTAAACCCCAAATCCCACCTTGTAAAACCTGTATGTGCATTGGGAGCACTCGAACCCAAAGGACATCAATTTTATCAACAGGTTGTCCCCCATTGCCTCAAAGAGCTGATTAATAATCTTCTCCCCATCAACAAATCCTGGGATTAAAATCAGCTGGCACAAGGTGACACCCTTGGGAACCTGAATTAAACCCCAAACCCCACCTTGTAAAGCTTGGCCGAGCTCAAACCCACAGGACATCACCTTTATCAACAGGTTGTCCCCTCTACCTCAAGGAACTGATTAAAAACTCTCTCCCCACTATCAAACCTGGGGTTAAAATCAGCTGGACCAAAGTGACCCCCTTGGGGACCTAAATTAAACCCCAAAGCTTGCACATGGATTGGCAGCACTCAAACCCACAGGACACCACTTTTATCAACAGGTTGTCCCCACTACCTCAAGGAGCTGCTTAAAAACCTTCTCCCCAACTACCAAAACCTGTGATTTAAATGCATCTTCCAGGGAAATGAGGGCTTTTCTCCATGGTAACAGCATCCCCAGCTGTGCATGCCTTACCTGCTGTGAGGCTGGCACTGCCTGCACCACTGGTGCCTGCGCTGAGCCCGACGGGTGAAGAGCCACAGAAGCTGCTGAGTCTGATCCACCCTCTGGACTCTGCATGCTCCCTGCTGGGGACAGCACAGGGACATCAGAGGGGACAGCACAGCACAGCCACACACCCCCAACCCATTGAGAACAGGGCTGAAATCCCAGGGGAATATGCAGAGGGAAAGGAGGCAGCTCCCGTCCTACACACGGGGCTGGTTTTAGTCCCTGGAGCTCATTTTAATGCAGAATTATGTGAAGGAAAAAGAAAGTTGCACAATTGTTTCACAGAGAGAAGGAAGGAACAGAAAATGCACTTCTATATTTAACTGAAAAGTGGTGTTGGAAAATTATTGTGTCACAGTGAGCATCACACATGATTGGGAAGAGTAGGGGAATATTTTTAAAAATAATGCTTTCTCCCCCTCTGCCTTATCACGTTTAACTAGTGCCAAAAAAAGCTTCTAATCAAACCTAAATTTTAGTGGGAAAGAGAGGTGGCCATCTTGGGTTTATAACCAGAAAAAAATCAAGGATGAAGAGCACAAGAAGAGAAATTCACCATCATTTTGGACCACTTGAAGCAGCATCTCCATCCTCACAAAAATCAGCATCTCCACCCTCCCATCACCCCAAAATCCCACCAAGGTCCCCAGACAGCCCCAGCATCACCCTCCAGTGCCACAGAGCCCTGATGGTGCCCTCAGCATCCTCAAATCCTCAATGCCAGCGCTGGGGACACCAGGGGATGCCTTATCACATTAAACTAGTGCCAAAAAAAGCTTTTAATCAAACCTAAATTTTAGTGGGAAAATGAGGTGGGCAGCTTGGGTTTATAACCAGAAAAAATCAAGGATGAAGAGCACAAGAACAAAAATTCAGCATCATTTTGGACCACTTGAAGCAGCATCTCCATCATCCCAAAAGCAGAATCTCCACCTTCCAAAAATCAGCATTTCCACCCTCCCATCTCTGTCCTTGCCCCAAAATCCCACCAAGGACCCCAGAGAGCCACAGCATCACCCTCCAGTGCCACAGAGCCCTGATGGCACCCTCAGCATCCTCAAATCCTCAGTGCCAGCCCTGGGGACACCAGGGGATGCTGAGGCAGCACACAATGGCATTTTGAGGGTTTTTTTGGGGGTGGGGGAGCCTTTTTTCCTCATTTTCTTGTGAAACTTCCTGCTTAATAAACTATTTTAGGAGGGTTTCTGCTGTCACTTCAAAATCAAAAGGTTAAAAGCATCCAGATTTTGGGCAGTGCCATTTCTGCTTTCTTGGCCTCACTGCTGAGCCTCTAAACAACATTATGATGGCTTTTATTTCCCTTCTTCTGCCATTATTTAAACTTTCCCCTCATCTTTGTGCTAAGAGGAAAAAAGTTAAGAGGAAAAAGGAAAAACAAGAAACTAAAGGACATTGGAACTGCTAATTTGTGTTCAAAAGAAATGCAAGGGGGTTGTGAGGTTACAGAATTTACCTGTTTATTCCTTCAGCCAATAAAACCAATAAAATCCTCCCAAATATTAAAATTCTCCAAAACCCAGCTTTTTAAGGGTTTTTTTTCCCCCCAATATTCCATACTCCCATTAGCAAATTACAATTACTCTCCTAACCTTTCTGAAATCCCAGAAGCTTGCAAATAATTTTTCTCACATCTGGGAGAAAAAGTAGATAAAGTCAGAGCTGCCAGATTAATCCAACAAGGCAGAAAGAAGGGAAATTAAATCAATATTTATTCCTGTGTCCCCCCAGCTGCCCTCCGCACCCCCATCCCTGCAGCTCTGCTATAAAAAGGCAGCACCTGCCTCTCCCCATCACTGCCTCTGCCTGGGCTGCAGCCAAAACCTCCCTGGGAGAAGATTCCAGTTTGCAACAGCACCGTGGGATCAGGAAAATAAAAATTCTCCCAGTAAATTCCAGCTCCTTTCCTGCTCCTGCCACGAATTATTTGTAATTAAACACTGGGGAAGCATTGCTGAGTTTGGAATATTCAGGTGAAGATGCTTAGGCAGGAGAGGGGGCACTTCTACCACATTTAACTTTTCCAAAAGTGCTTATTTTCTGTCCCCAATTTTTCCAAAAGTGTTTATTTTCTCTCCCTAACTTTTCCAAAAGTGTTTCTTTTCTGTCCCTAACTTTTCCAAAAGTGTTTATTTTGTGTCCCCAATTTTTCCAAAAATGTTTCTTTTCTGTCCCTAACTTTTCCAAAAGTGTTTCTTTTCTGTCCCTTGTGCCCTGGGTTTGGTTTGCAGCTCTCCAGGGTTTTCTGAGTAATGGAGAGGTTACAGAATAGAATTGGGAGAGTTGACAAAGATATTTTAATTATCTATTAATGGTTCTGGCAGGGTCAGCTCTTGGCATTTTAGTTCTACACAAGGTCTCCTTTGAAGTGGAGCTATAATCAGAAAAGAACACTTAGAAAAGATAGAATTGGACTTTGATGATCCTTTTAAGTCCCTGCCAAGCCAGAATATTCCCTGGTTCTCTGATTCAAATCACCAACAACTCATCTTTGCTGGCACATTTTGTCTCCTGCTTTCCCTCAGTGGCCAGAAGGGAGCAGAGAGACGTGGGCAGGGTGGAAGGTGAATTGTTTGCTGCCAGAATAAATCCCAGAGTGATTTTCAGGTTTGTGATGACAGCCAGACACAAAGGCTCCCAGGAAATCTGCAGATGGCACTTCCAGACAAGGCAGACAGACAGACAAGTCCTGGATTGCCAAACCACAAGTAACAGGACTTGTTATTATTTTATTTATCACCGCAACATCCTGGAGAAGGAATAATTCACTTCTCATTAAACCATCCTGCACTTCCTGAGAACTGCACTCAGATCCGTGTGTGCCATCTGCTCTGGGCAATTTGTGCTGATAAAAGCTGAGAGCACCCACAGAATTCCTGTGCTCCCAGAAACCAGCACGAGGTGCTGCAGAGCTCTGCTGCTGCCCTGGCACCACAGCTGGCACCTCCAGAGGGTGCAGAAAGGGTTCAGGGAGGAGAGGGAACGTGGCACCCAAAGCCTTGATCCTTCCCCTTCACTTTATTATTTATATGCATAAATACTTTATATCTTTATTATATAAAGTATAATTGTATCTTTTTACATATAATTATATATAAATATATAATTATACTTTATATAATGAATACATATAATGTATAATGTATATATTACATATGATATAAATAGATTATATATATATTATATAAAGTATAACGATATATTTATATATATAAGTACATATTTAAAGTATATGTATTATAATGCACTTTATATATAGAGAGAGTATATAATATATATAATATACTTTATATATAATATTTATATATAAAGTATATTATATATTTATTATTTATATACGTAAATACTTTATATATTTATTATATAAAGTACAATTATATATTTATATATATCTTTTATAAAATATAATTACACTTTATATAATAAATATATAATGTATAATATAATAAATTATAATATAATATAATATAATATAATATAATACAATATATATAATATTTAAAGTATAATTATATATTTATATAGAGAATTGTATATAATATATATTATATATATACTTATATTATTATAGTGTATAATAATATAAGTACATCTACAAAGTATATATATTATAATACACTTTATATTTAGAGTATATAATATATATAATATACTTTATATATAATATTTATATATAAAGTATATTATATATTTATTATTTATATACGTAAATACTTTATATATTTATTACAAAGATAAATACTTTATTATTTATACTTTATTATTTTTCTTTTTTAAGAACAGGTCAGATGAATCAGAGGTGGGACTGGCATGGTTGGTTCTCAGGGGGTATTTACAGAATCACAGAATTCCAGAATCACTGGGTTGGAAGAGATCTTCAAGATCAGAGCCCAGCCCAGCCCCAACCCCTCAACTGAACCCTGGCACCCAGTGCCACATCCAGGCTTTGTTAAACACACCCAGGGATGGGGACTGCAGGCATATAAACCTCCCCAGGCAGAACATTCCAGAACTTTATCACTCTTTCTGTGAAAAACTGAAAGAATAACTTTTTCCTAATATCCAACCTATATTTTTTTCCTGATATCCAACCTGCATTTCCCTTGGCACAGCTTGAGGCTGTGTGCTCTGGTTCTGTCAGCGCTGCTGCAGAAAGAGCCCAGCCCAGCTGAGCACAGGCACCTTTCAGGAGCTGCAGAGAGCGATTTAGGTCTTGTATTTCCATCATAGATTGGTTTGGGTTGGAAAAGAGGTTAAAAATCATCCCATCTCACCCCTGCCATGGCAGGGACACCTCCCACCATCCCAGGCTGCTCCCAGCCCTGTCCAGCCTGGCCTTGGGCACTGCCAGGGATCCAGGGGCAGCCCCAGCTGCTCTGGGCACCCTGTGCCAGGGCCTGCCCACCCTCACAGCCACCAATTCCTTTTTAATTTCAAATTTCTCATCTAACTCTCCCCTCCTTCACCTTCAAGCCATTCCCCTTGTCCTGTCCCTGCATGGCTTTATCCAAAGTCCCTCTCCAGCTCTTTCATGGGCACTTTTGGACACTAAAAACTGCTCCAAGGTCTCCTTACACTGGATTTATTCAGCACCCAGGGCCAGCTGTGCCACCATTCCCCTCCTTCCCCAGGCTCTTTTGGGGTGCAGGAGATGCTGCTCCATCCCCTCCTCAGCACCTGAAATGATGATGGTTGGATTCAATGATCTTTAAAGTCTTTTCCAACTGAAATTATTCTATAAATACATCCTTCAGGCATCCAAAATCTGATTTAATGTTTCCTCTACCTCTAGGCAGTCATTTTGCTGTTGGATTTTTATGCCCCACATTTAAATCCCCTTTGAGAAGAACTGGTTAAGCCCATTTATGAATGGCAAGGACAGAGTGGATTTCTTACCCATGGAGGTAATAACACCCACCAAGCTTTATTGGGAAGCTTAAATAGAAGTAGCTATTAAAAAAAATCACTTTATCCCAGAGGTGAAATAATTGATTGTTCTTAAAACTAACAAAAAACTGACTGAGGATCTTTTCCTTTCCCTCATTTCTATCCCAGTATT